AGGCCGGAGTGTTTTGCTGGGCGGCAAGCTGTTGCGGAACTGGTGTGCTGCGTGAATGTTTATCATGTTGGGGCGCGAGCCTGTTCATGTGGTAGGGTAGGCAGGCTTCATTCGGTGGCAGTGCCCCTGAGCAGGAACTCGCTGCGACCATGGTGACGGCCTTCATGTCCAACAGCTTCTTCGAGCTCCTCAAAGGTGGCAAGGGCAAGGACACAAAGGCGGCGCAGAACAGGCAGAAGGTCTACCACTTCTGCGACATTGTCTGCCAGCTAATCTCCGAAGCAGACAATGGCGAGTGCGCCTCAGAGTATGACTGCCTGCTCAAAGCGCAGTCTCGCGTGCAGGGTGTTGCCAAGGGCTTCCTGGCGATGCTGTCCCCGTGGCCAGGCGCCCATGGGAGCTTGCCTCAAGATGCATCCAACCTTTTCATGTACAAGGGCATCCAAGGTGAAGAGATTCTTTTGCGGGACACTCTGAACAGCAGCTCAACTTGGAAGGCTTTGTGGGACGAGCTCCTTGCAAAAGGCACGGCCTCCTTTGAGGCGGCCCCGCGTGTGCGTCAGATGTGCAAGGACTTGCGGGAAAAGGACGAGTCCGCCCGCAGCGCTGCCATGACTGCGGGAGTGCTCCAGCTCCCCGAATGGAGGTCGCAACTGCGACCGGCCATGCTTGACCAGCTTGAGCAACTCCTGGCCAACGTCGTTGTGGACAAGGCCAAAGAGGTTGCCAAGGTGCTAGAGAAGGAGGAGACGATTCCGGACTCCATCACGCAATCTTTGGTGGCTACGCTTGAGAGGGGGCTGCAGCTTTTTGCCAGCCAGCCGACAGTCCTTCAGTTGTCTGGCAAGCTGCACAAGCTTCGCGCCAAGGCAAGCAAACACCTTGCAGTTCAAGAGCTGAAGATGCTTGCTGAAGCGTTCCCCTTAGAGCGCCTTGAGTCGGCAGAGGATGAAGCTGCGCTCAACCTCCCCAGCCTGAAAGATGTGGTCAAAGCCTTGGAGGGGGCCAGGGATTCTCTCGAGTCTGCCTTGGTGGACTGGAAACGGTTTCAGGCTATGATCTACTGGCTGTGGAGGTTGCTCATCACCAGCTTCCAGGACTGAGATAGTGAAGTCATATTTTGCTACTAGTGACAACGTACTCGACAAGTGGGAGAAGCACGGCAATTAGCCTTTTGTGGTTGGAAACAGCGTCGTGTGACGAATTGTGATTGGGCCCAGATTCAAGATTCAAGCTAGCAGCTAGGCCCAGCTGCAGGCTTTGCCCACTTTGGATTCAACATGATGTTGTTGCTGCTTTCAACTTGGCGTCGCCAGGACTTTCAGTCTGCTTTGTCAAGTGCTTCGAGGGCCGCAGAGATCCAGAAGGATTGCGCGTCCATGCTGATTGTGTGCGAGCATCTGCTGACTGAGCCACACATGCAGCGATGGATGAATGCGCAGATTTCAGGAGTTTCTGCTGCTGCAATGCTGGCAGAGCAAGTGGCGGCCTATCAAGAAACGGGCCCTAGACCGGCAGCTCGCCTGGCGCTGCAGGGGTCTACCGAGAAGCTGGAGCAGTTGCTGGTCACGGCGAGGAAGGTGCGGGCTGCGGCTGAGACGATTGCGGCCGTTGACGACGTGCTTCCAGCCCAGAGCATGCTCGAGCTTCGCAATGAGAAGGCCTTGCTGCTGACTGGCCTGTCTATGTTGGAGAGCTTTGAGACCTTGCTTCAGACGGAGGTGCTTGCGACTGATGTGAACTACAAGGCCAGTCAGATCACGGCGCAGCTGAACATGCTGACGGCGAAGCTGTGCTCCCAATGCAAGAACTATCATTGCGATGAGAACAGCTGGAAGCACAGCCTGCCGCCCGACCCCAAGCCAGAAGATGTCTCCAAGGCGATTGCTAAGACCGTGCGCACCCTGGATGCCCAAGAGATTGACCAGTCGAAGGATGAGCTCTCCAAGGCCTCCGCGAAGTCTTGCTTCAAATGTTGTTGCAGCGCTATTCCCAGACGCAGGCGTTAGCCTTCATGGAAGGTCCCAACGAAGAGACCAGATGCCAAAACCCGAGTCGCAAACAGACAAACCTTTAGTATTAGTAGGGCGCCCTTCGCAACTGCAGGACATAGTTGGATTTGGCCTGTTAGGGCTGGGCCGTCACTTTTCCCAATGTGTTGCGCTGTGTTTCACGCGCAAGTCATCGCGGCCCAACGTTGGGAAGCAGACTCCCCATCAAGACGCTCAAGCGTTCTGCAACACAGGGCCAGTGTGCTAGTTTTTGATCCAATGCTTTCCGGGTACCCACGTTTGTGCGGTTAACAGCTTTGCTTGCCAATAGGGCCATCTCATCACACTGCATTGTTGGAGCAGCTGTTTTTCTGCAAGGGAAGGTTCCAGTCATTCATGTATTTTGTTCTTTTGTGTTTTCAGCCAAACACCGTCGCGCTACCCAAGACGTGGCTGCGCACCAAGCAGCGGCGCACTTGTCGCTTGCCCTTGCCCTGAGTGATGCTCAGACAACGCTAGGCCGCTAGGCTCCTGCAGAACAATCCCGGGAACTCACTGTGTTGCTGTGTCTGGCAAAAAAGAGATAGGGCCATGAGTGTTTTGCGCTAGGGCATCGGACACCCATCATCTGCGCGCTGTGTCAACTGGGGTACGGCGTGTCAGACTCGTGAACATTTTTCGTTGTTTTGACTGCAGCATTAGGGAAGACGAACGCTAGACGCACGGAGCTTCTCAGCAACTCATGATGTTGACAAACGAGGGTGGGAGACCTGACGCTTTGGGATGCTGTGCGGCTACATTGTTGTTGTTTTATGTTTTTGCGTCGGGCGATCGGATGGCTTTCAGGGACAGATTGCAAGAGCTGTTTCAAGGGACATGCCTTTTCTAAGGGGGAGTGGTGACGCCTAGGACCTAGAAAGACAAATGCTTGCCATTCCCACGGATTGGACAGGATGTGGCCCAAGGACAAACATTTTGTGTGGCAAGGAAATTTGACGTACGAACGGAGCAGGGGCGTGTCTTTTTTTGGGATGCGAGCTAGCGCTGCTTTGGACCCCTTCATTTAGACTACTTCCTTTTTGAGTTGTCATTGCTTGCAGCAACCTGCAGGCCGTGGAAGAAGCCAAAGCCTTCTTGGCAAAGATTACAGGCACACCTTCTGACCCAGTGAACGAAGCAGGCCGCACACTAGTTGCGACAAGCGCAGCGGCAACTGCGGTGCGAGTTATGTTGTGCGAAGGATTGCTATGCTTGAGTCTCACCAACAAGGGCTCCCTGAAGCCGGCGGTCAGGGATTGTTTGCGTCACCAGCTTGGTGAGGTGGCTGGCGGAAGCGTGCCTGAGGCAGACGTGCATCCTGTCCTGCTAAAGGCCGCAAAGGCCTTGATTAGCTGAGCAGATTTTCTCCAATTTTTGGTCAGGCAAACTAGGTAGTTGACCGGCCAACATTTTGCATAGGAACGCAGTCTGGGAAAGGTGGCTGGCCCAAGCAATCGCACATCTCTTTGAGCTTCATGGTTGTAATTCACTTGGAAGAGCATCCCAATGGACTGACACAGCGTGTTGTGTTTGAGCGGTTGCTGTGCTGCCAGCAAGACTTCTGTGCGTGCGTGCGCGCGCCTAAAGGGGCCACCAGCAGGCTGCTTTGGCTAGGGTTCTGGGCGGGCACGGGCAGGAAGTCAGACATGTAAGACATGTGAGGGAAAGTTAAAGTTCTTGTTGTTTTTTGTGCATCTCCTTGAAGTTGACAACATGACCTTCCTGGTTTCAGAACATGTTCATAAGTGAAGACAGCTTGCATTCTCGCAAGACATGCACAAGCTCACCAGATGCCCCTCTTGCAGCGGCAAGAAACGCAGCTTACCCTTTACACAGCTTACGCTTGAACCGCCTTGACCTCAATTGGGCGCGCCTAAGAACAATGCAGCGCTAGCTAGCTTGCCAGGCCTGACCTCCATGCAGAAAACACAATTGAATGGGTGACCTCGAAAGCAGTCCTGCCTACTGCGAGATCCATCAACGCCTCTAAGAGATGTTAGGGTAGCAAGCGCTTTCCAAACCCAGTGTCTCCAAGGTGTAAGAAAAGGTGAAAAGGAAACGCATTGAAATCGTATTGAAATCGTATTGAAATCGTAAATGTTTCAGGAGTCGTATTGAAATCGTAAATGCGAATCGTAAAAAAAACGTAAAAAAAGCATAAAAAAAAATAATCAAGAAAACGCTCCAGGGGCTCCGCCTGGCTGGATGGCTCTAGGGGTTGATTCAGGGCTCCAGATTAGAAACGATGCTGGGGGTCTTTTTTTTGGGAGGGGAGGTTAGAATTCTGGGGGTGGGCTCTTCTTTTTGGGGATTTTCGAGGGACCCCCTTTTTTGCGGTAAATCTAGGGGTTGATTCCTTGTCCCGTCTTAGTCAGTCTTTTCCGTGTGTTTGCCTATTTCCCTTTAAAGCAACCCCTCAAGGAGGCACTAAGGAACTAGAAAGACCCTGATGGAATTTGGTAGAATTGGGGAGCCGACCGGAAACACGCGCCGAAAGGCCATGGTGGGGCTGTCTTATTCCGAAGACACGTTTTCAAAAACCGATCGCCATTTCCCCTGGGTTTTTGGTGGGTTTCTAGAAAGATCCGGATCCCCTGAAAAGAATGGAGAAGCTACCCCTGGAATGCCGGCGAAGTCCAACACGCAACAGCGACAACCGAAATCGCAATGGGTCAAAATACCGGTTACCCCAAAATGGGATCCGATTGGCTTTGACCCACAGCCAAATCAGAAACCCCGGAAGATTCTTGTTTCGATTCCCCAATGAATACCCAACGGTTGTGGTGTCTTTGGGTTTCATTCACCGTTTCGACTTGTGAATCACCCTCCGAAACTTGGTTGCTGTTGACCCCCCTGCAAAAAGTTTCACTTTTTGGGGGGGTTTAGTGGGAAAGCACCCCCCAATATTTCCACCCAAAAGGTTAAAGTCCGAAGATCCGTTGCCCCACAGCAGCCCGAACGGAACCTCGCCTTTCAAAAGGCGGAGATCCCGGTCCAAGGGCCCCGGCTGGTTGGGTGTGTTCTGTGCCCATGTTTCCCGGCCAGCCCCTGGGACCGCGACTAGGTGTGCGCTTTCCGGGTCAATAGAAGTTGGGATCTGCGAGCCGCAAGATCCGAACTTCAATGACGCGCGTCTAGGAAGAACTGGTCTCGTGTCAAGGATGATTTGGCCAGCAAACGGAGGGGTACCTCCCAAACGCAAGAGATCCAAAGGCTTTTGCCCTTTGAATGATCCTTTGCCTCCACAATTAGGCCCAGTCCTGTAACCTGAACCACACGTTCTTGCTTCCCGCGTGGCCAATTCGCTCGATAGGCAGTCCTTTGGCTTTGCTGGTTCTCAGGGAGTGAGGGAATGAACCCCTTGTCGCTTCCTTGATCCAAAGCAGGTCGTTCTCAGAGCCCACTCCTTCCCTATCATCCCCTGTGTCTCGGGGAATCTCAAAACCCAAGGTGCTTGCCTGAGAACCAGCAAGCTTACGGAACCAAATCCGCAGTGGGTTGTGCTTCCAACAAGCTGGGCCACCCCGACCCCTTTCAATGTCCACGGGATCCAAAAAGGTGGCAGAGGGCCAATCTTTCTGCTCTGTTGACCCTTAGGGACCCACAAAGAAAAGAAGAAAAATCCTTTTCGGGCCCCTAAAAATGTTGCAAAAATGGGAAACCCAAAGGTCAAGTGGTCGATTCACTTTGGGCAAGTGAGATCCCAAAAGGGTGGCAAAGGGCCAATATGGCCAATCTTTTTCAAATCGTACCTTGACCCGGGGCACAACAAAGATTCTCATTGTCAGGCTTCGGTTTCACTTTCATGCAACATACTGCGGATGGACGAAATCCATTTCGCACCACTTTGAAACCATGGCTGAAACCATTGCTTGCTTGGTATTTGCGTTGGGAAATCGAATCAATCCAGGGTTTCTGAACGCTGCGCTGGATGGATTTCGCAACCATCCACAGTACCCCCATCCCGAAGCCACCTGCGTACATCAGCGGCTCCACCTCTCTGGGTGCCAGAGCCCAAGCGCCACCCACCTGAAGGGGCGAAGACGGCGTCTTGGGCTGTGGTTTTTTGGTGGAGCACGGCAGCGTTGAATCCGTTTGTGGGTGGGGGTCTTCGGTTTCTGTTTGGTGGGTTTCGAGGTGGTTTGGGTGGGTCTGGTCTGGTCTTTTTGCTTTGCTGGTTGTTGCTGTTGAGTGCTTTGTGTTTGGTTTTGTTTGGCAGGGGTTGCTTTGTTGACGCGCTTCTTCGTTCTGGCTTGGCTTGGTTGGTCTTTTGTTGTGGGTGTTCTTGCTGTTTGGATTTGTTTGGTTGACTTCGTTCTTTGTGTTGTGTGGCTTGGAGATGTTGTTGCTGCTGCTGCTGCTGCTGCTGCTGCTGCTGCTGCTGCTGCTGCTGCTGCTGCTGCTGCTGCTGCTGCTGCTGTGGATGCTGTCGTCGTGGTTGCTTGTGTTGGGTGGTCTTTGTTTCAGTGCCTGTCCGTGCGCTTAGTTTGTTGTGTTGGGCGTGTGCGTGCGTGTCGCGTTGCTGTTTGTGTTTGTTTCTGATTTCATTGCGAAGGGTGTGTGTGTGTGTGTGCGAAAGAGACTCTGTGTGGCTGTATGGTTGTTGGACGATGCTTTGCTGGTTTGTGTTGATGTCTGTTTTGTTTTGTTGCGCATGTTCGTTGAGCGGTGTTATTTGTCTCTTGTGTCTGTTGTGTGCGTGTGTGTTTGTTTTTTTGATTGTTCTGGCATTTCTCTTAAATGGATCCTTGAACAGTATTCAAACGTGTTTTGGATGAATATTGGCAACAACTGGTGAGTTCAACAAGGCAACCACATTGTTCCCACTCCCTTCTTGTTTGGTCAGTTCCCCGTCGAGCATGTCGCAACATGGTGTGGTCCTTTTCCGAAGCAAAGAACCCCTCTAACCCCTTTGCTTGGCCTGGGTACAACAAACGATGTGTTCAACCCCAGCCAGTGTCACCCTAAGATACACCCGCCTGTCCACTAACATGGAACCTCAAGGGGTTCTGGAAGACAACTTTCCCTCAATCGGTCCCCTCTGCTCTGGCGCGTTCCATGTTGGACAGAAAACTCACCATCGGTTTGGAGGCGAAAAGTAAACGCCCCTAAACGTCCGCAAACCGAGTAAGCGACGGCCAACCTGGAGACCCATGGCGGCGGACACGAAGAAGATGAGGATCACCGCATAGAATGGGCCTAGACGTGACCAACGGGATAGGACACCCCTGGTGAATTGTGGGGTGTCCAGGTAAACCAGGGATCGCCATCTAGTTCCAACCAAACCAAAAAGGACACCTATGCTTACGGATTCCCGTCAACTTTGTCTCACTTCTGGGACCCTGCCTCAGCGAATTCGTACAATGGGCGTGTCTCTGAATCAGGGCACCAAGAAAGGCTACCAGTCATTTGCTCAGATGTGTCTAGTCTTGAGAGTACTCCTTTTTGGGTGGTTGTTCAAGAGACGCCAGAAGGAAAAACACCTTTTGTGGGGTCCCCGAAACAAGAGACACACCCTTTCAAGGTACTTTTAGACCCACAGTCATCATTCTAGGAGTGCACTGTACACTAGCAGCTACTTCGCCGCGCATGGAATCCAGCAGGAATAAAGCGAATTTGGGCACCGCGTGGCTTGGAAAAAAGGGAAGCAAAACCTGGTGCCTACACTTTCCCAGCGGATCCTTTTACCTGTATAGAGGCAACCAATTCAACCAGCCTTTAGGAAAACATAAGGAAAATGGCTGGTTGCCTACTATAAGGGCAACTGGGATCCACGGGGTTGGTTGTTGCCACAATTATCAGAGTACAGAAACTGGAGTGATGAGAGGGGCCCGGTTTCTTTGCCGCTTGCAGGCCGACTCCAATCCCCAAAACTTCATCAATTGAGAGGCTTCTCTTGGCGAATTTGGTGGGTTTGCCGTGAACCCAGTCGATTCTCTCACCGAAGTTTTGCTGGACAGTTGGCTTCCTGCAAAATTTCGGTTCCCAGATTGATAAACTTCGGCTGATTTATATGGAGGGGTGTTCCGTTCAACAGAAGGTCCCGAGCTTTTGGCAAGGGAAGGAAGGGAGGGAGGGAGGACGGGAGGAAGGAAGGAAGAAGGGAAGCTGCACACTTTGGGCTGCCCTTGAGCGCTGTGAGCCGGAGGTAAACTGCTGGACACAGTCTCGTTCGCACGGATGGATGAAACCTGATCAATACTGGTTGATAAACCAACCAGCTGGTACGATGTGAATTTTGTCCCAGAGTATTCTCCCACAAACTGACACAAACCCAACAAAATCCAAATCCCCCCCGAAACCCAAAAGAGACTTAAAGCAAACATGACCCAAAAAATGAGCAACATACATCCAGTTGTTCAACAAAATCGCCCAACAAAACATGGCTTGACCCAAACTGCAGGGTTTGGGAACCAACCAACAAACCCAAATCCACCCCCCCCCCCGCCCTCCGAAGTCCGAATCCAAATCTCAAACAATCCCAAACCCCAAACCCCGCAACCCCAACCCCGAACCAAACACCTATTCTCCAACCAACTCCCCCCCCCCAAACGCACCCAACATCCAAGCCAAGCACCTCCTCTCCAACAAAACCGCCCCCCAAAACAAAACCGCCCAAAAAACCGGCGACCCAAAATTTCTCGGAGAACAAAAACACACACACAATTTTTACAGGGCTCGTGTTTCTCTCTTCTTCTTCTTTTTTGCGAGAACCTGCGATTTCCATCCCCCCCAAAAAAAAAAAAAAACTTGGCTCGTGCCCAACCCCTCCAACCAACCTCGCTCGTTCCCTGCGCTCGGGACCCCGAGCCCTTCCCGAGCCTGCGATGTCCGGGAAGGCCAGGGCCATCTTCACGGAGATCACCACCACCGTGAGCATCATCCTCGGACGGCGGCTGGGAAATTTTTTGTGGCGTCTCCCCCGGTCTCCCCCCCTTTGTTTGTGTGCGTGTGCGTGTTTTTGTGTTTTGTTTTTTTTGTTTTTTGCTTTTTGAGCAGAGCCAAGCCTAGGTCCTCCAGATTTGAGAGGTTAGAACAAGCTGGTACCCTATTTTTTTCCTGTAGTCTATTTTAGTAGGGGAACCCTCCCCCAAAGAGGGTGAGAGGGCACTACTGAGGGACCTAGGTGGGGAATTTGTCGCGTACCCTGTTTTGTAAAAAAAAAAAAAAAATGCGGTGGGGGGTTCAAAAAAAACCCTTCTTTCCGGGGGGTGGGCAAGGAAAAAACAAGCCATTTGCGCCTGGAAGGCTTGAAAAAGGAAAACAAAAGAAGGAGAACCAAAGCATCTTCCTCGAACATGTGGTTGGTTTTGGTGGCCGATACTTTCTTCCTAAGTGAGCTGGCCAACAACAGTTTGGCCTCTTGCTTAAAGTCCTAGAACTCAGGAAGTTAGGTTTGGGGTGCCTCGCCAGACCCAAGTTTCAATCAAAAAGAGTCATCCTAGCCAGTACCTTTTGCCCTAAGAATTCTTGAGGACTCGAAAAAGGCCCCTGTTTTCTTCGGGGCAAACAACCATGGACGATGTGACGCCTGGGAATTGTCCTTTGGTTTTTGAAGGTCTGGATCTGGGCTCCGGTACTTTACCTACTGATCCCCTTGAAGCTCAGCTTTCTTTGCAGTGGGGTGGCTTGGAGTGGGTTGGTGAAGGCCAGGTTCCCATTCAACAGCCACAGGTGCAAACCAAAAGGAATTGGTTTTAGGAATCGAAAGAAAACCACCTTGGACCTGCAGAGCTCGCTTTGGCGCACTGAACTGGGGTGGCTTTTGGTTTGGGGGCTTTTGGAGATGGAGTGTGCTCACACCCGTTTTCCTGGCCTGTTTGCGAATCAAAGTCACGTCACCAGTGGGAAAGAGAAACAATCCCAGCTTCTCAGCCCCAAAAGTTGTCGTTTTCTCCTGTTGGATACCTTAGGTATACCTACTGTGGATATACACACAATTCCACAAACCGCACCAGTTGAAACTGGCTTATCCGAGATTCGCAGGCCCATCCATACCACTGGTAACTAGTGAATGATGTTCGTCAGTATGGTACCTGGGCCTAAGTCGGCCTGGCGTAAGTCTCCTTTTAGTTTGGTTGAAAATAGATGAGGGTGTTCACTGGTTTCAGTTGCCGCCATTTGTACAAAATTGATCATACATGTCCAGTAGTGATAGATTCCCTTGAAAACCAACAGAGGAAATCAATCATATTCATTTCAGCAAACGGAAGGTTGGGTTCCTTTCATTCACAAGTGCAATCCATTCACTTGTACTTTTCGGATGAGCAGGTGCCGTGTTGGAGCCTGGTGCGAATCTAGGCAAGCCGCACACGGAAAATTCACCCGAATGCGGCAGCCCGTGGACCTATGGACTTTTTGCCTCCAAGAGGCTGGCGGCTTTTTTGGAGGAGATCCTGTTTCCGTTGGCTCCCAAGAATCTTGGCTGGAAAAAAGATTGGGACCCCAGCCAAAAAAAAATGACCTTTTCTTTGCCTGGCTAGTGGAAAGCAAAAAGGGAACCCCAAAAAAGCAAAAAAACAAAACAAAAAGGCAAAAAGGGGAGCTAATTCTGGGGAAGATAATAGTTCAAGGGAGAACCCATGAAGATTGGAGGATTGAATGCATGAGCAACTCCCAAAACCCCTTGACTGGGTTTGTCCTCGCGTCAGGCAACAGAACCCGTCTCGTAAGACATATGGGGGTTTGCGCTCTCGTTTCAGAAACTCGAAAGAACCACAAGAAGACCGATAGAACCAATAAAAAGAAGAATAGTGAAGTCAAGCAAAGGAAGGGATCCAAGTATATGTCCCCTTCAAACATCACTCCACCAAAAGGATCCGCACGAAAAAGACTTGGTGCTGGTTGAAACCTTCGGGAAATCTGCGAACAAACAGCTAACGCAAATTTTACCTTTCCCCCAGCCCCTTCCACAAAAATCATTGAGCAGTTGGATCTAAACCTAAACCTCACTTCTGAAGGAGTGGATTGGCAACAACAAAGCATTGCAACTCTTTTATGAAAGCCAAACTCCAGGCTGACTAAAGTCCAAGAACTCAGGGAGCAAGGTTAACAAGAAAATGTTCGCAACCAGTTGATCCCGGTTACCACTATAGCCTAGCACTGAACTGCCCTCAAATCCCCTAATTTCTAGCGGCTTGAATGGAAACTGCCACTACACCAACTAAAAACAACTCAAACGCCAAGTTGAACCGGATCTGGAAGCCACCGAGACTAGGTCACCTGCAAAATATTGTTCCTTCTGGGTGTTTGTTTTTTAAGGGCGGGTTCCCTTGGTTGCCTACAAAACCATGTAAATCCGGAATCACCTGGTGCTTACCGCAGCCCAGCGTCATGGTGGCCGAGATGGCCACCGGGAACTTGAAGTGGTCCTCTCGCGGCCGACGAGTCGACGAGTCGACGAGTCGACGTCCGATTCGGCCGAGTTGGGAAGTCGCAAGTCGGGAAGTCGCGAAGTCGTTGCCAGGGAAACCCAGGGAAACAAGACCAGGTCCTCCAGCTTTGAGAGGGTAGAATCAGAGTACCAACTTTTTCTGTCTACTTTAGTAGGGGAACCCTCCCGCCAAACAAGGGTAAATGGGCACTACTGGGGGACCCAGAAGAGAAACATGATTTTTGTACTAGCAATCAAGAAGGGGTTTTCCTCAATGGCCAGAGAAAAAAACCTGAAGACAAAATGAAATCATCAAACAAGGGAAACAACATCTTGTTTTCTAACCAAAAGGTCACCCGTGCACGGACAAAATCCATTTCGCACCACCATTCAGAAACTCTGGCGTGTCTGCTTCGATTACCCAACGTAAATACCGGAACAAACGATATGGCTTCAACCATGATTTGAAAGTGGTGCGAACGGATTTCGTCCTTTCACTGTATTTGGTGGGAACACCACAAAACCATCGATCTCTCCAAGGAAAAGCAAGATCCAATGTTCGAACCCAAAGCTGCTTCAATCATCTGGCACAGCTCGCACCCATGTCCTATTTTTGGGCTCCTTTGACCTACCATACAGGGGGTTGCTCCATGACCTTAGTGTTGAAATTTGGCTCGGAGCACATCGTTGAACCATCCGGGGGCAGCAGAAAATAGGCCTGTCCCCCCGAATGGTGCATGTTCGTTTGGTTTCACCAAAACGGGGTACCCTCAAAACAAGACACCCCCATAACATAGAAAAGCTCACCACCATCCCGTCTCCTGCATCCCCTTGCTGGCTCTGAGAGTCACAAGGGTCTTTTGGGCATTAACCTGTCCCCTTAAGCCATAAAGAATTGTTCATTCTCAGAATGGACGAAATCCATTTCGCACCACTTTGAAACCGCGGAAAACCATTTGTTTGGCACTTACAGGGGAATCATCATCCTTCTCTGGGCTTCTTAGGTGGTACAGGATTGCGTCCACCCACAGTAGAAAAAGAAAGTCCCTTGCCCACTAAGAGCCAAAGGCGGCACAAAATCTACAGGGCTCAAGCAACTAGCAACATGGTCGTGTAATCATGACTCGCAATCCGGTTTTCATGGCCTTGAGTTGCCGGGCGAGAATGCCAGGCCCGAGGGTTCGCCGCCTTCCCTGCCCAAATGGGACCTGTACAACCTTGGCCCTGGGTTGCAAAAGATGCTCGGGTTGATCCATGCCGGGTTCTCACGATTTCCCTACTATACCCTCAGGTTACACCCTTGGGAAATTACCCCAAATGATTGCAAATAAACCAAACGAACGTTTTATCTGGACGTAGGCAAGAATAGCGTGATCCCCAGAGCACACAATCCCAAGTGTAGTGAGAAAACCCTTGGATGGGTTCCCACATTGGGTGGCCTATCTTGGATTTGTTGACGAACCTCAGGCCCTTTGAACACCCCGACGCCCCGTGCGTTTTTTGTTCAAGCCCGCATAGCTCATGACAATTCCACGTCCAATAAAGTCCCTTACTGAAGCTGGCCATAAGTATGTCGGGCCTTGCTATAAGTTGCCCTCATTACACCAGGTAGAAGCATAGGTGGCCTTTTGGAAAAATAGATGGCCCTGGTAAATGGAATAAACCCTATCTAAACCAGGGCCCTCTATTCTTTAAGCAAACCAACCAAAAAGGACACCTATGGGCAGAAGCCGAACCGAACCTGTTCCAATTCGTGGATTGGCCGAAAAGAGTGGGGCAAAGGTTTGCAAGCGCCTGAAATGACACCAATCAATCATTCCAGCCCGTGTCTTTCTTTGAAGGCACCTTAATCCGTTGCGATAAAAAGGGACACCAAAAGCCATGGCCGCATAAACCACCCATTTCTGGTCAAAATATCCAACTCCTTAAACAAAATAAGCTCAGGTGATATCCCCAACACGTACGACAACCCTTGCCTTGACCACCTGGTGCAGACCACCCCGGCACCTTCGAAACCTTCCTTGCACCAGACCACCCCCAGACTCCGGAACCTTGCTCGAACCTGACTCCAGAGCTTGCCCGAACCACACCCTCAAACCTTATCTGGGCTGAGACCCCTTAGCTTTCAGCTGTTGGGGAGAAAAGAAAGACAAGGATAACCACACCCAGTGGGAATGAAAAACACACACACACACACACGCGCAGGAGTTATTTGGTGCGAAGTGTGGATTTGGTGCGAAGTGTGGCGAGATCTGCAAGTCGTTGATGCTCCTGGCCTCACCTGGGTGCCAGCAAACCCCCCCCTTCCGAGCCTGAACGGCCAGCAGCGAGACCACGGTCCAGGCGGCCAGCACCAGGGGCACCGTGAGCTGCTGGCTGCAGAGCTGCCAGCTCTCGGACCTCCGGGCGATCTTTGTCTAGGTCCTTCCAACTCTGGTTGTTCCTTGGCCCTTTCACTGCCGGGTCTCGGGCCAACCAATTTTCAAAAGATTCCGCTGGGAGGGTTCAGGTGTGGCCCCCTTGAAAGGAAAAAACAACTAAAGGAGGTCGTTCCTGACAGGGTGTCCCTTTAGGAACCAGGATGTCAGGTTCCCTGTTCATAAGCTAAAAGGAGTTGGTCACTGGAAATACCTTCTCTATTTTCCCAAAAGGGACTGGTCACTGCTGGCAAAAAACAATGTTGTTCTTTTTTTCTTCCAGGAACCGTATCCGCAGGTGAGAATAACTAGGTCCCCCAGTAGTGCCCTTTCTCACCCCTTTTTTTGGGGAGGGAAACCCCTACTAAAATAGACTACCGAAGAAAAAAAAAGAAGGAGAGAAAAAAAGAGATAGCCTTCTTCTAGCCTCTCTACGTTGGTTCGGATTGGTGGTTTGGAGATTAGTTTCAGCTTCCCTCTGGTTTTTAGGTTCCCTCGAATCGGTGAGTTGGATTGGTGAGAGTGGTGGTCTCTAGTTACTCTCTACAGGAAGGGGTTCGATTCAAATCCAAGTCTAAACCGCCAATCTAAACCACCAACTAGGGTTGCCTCTGGTTTCACATCTTTGAACAACCATAGCTTCATTGGTGAGAGCGTAAAGCCAACATGGGCCTTGGGCTGTTGGGGATAGTATCTGGGCATATTTTGTGGGTAAACCAAGGGAAACCCCGCCAATCTATGGGGTCACCAATTTAGGACACACCCAAATTGTCATGTTATTGGGTAGTAGGCGAGTACCCAGTGCTTCCAGTTACCACTATAGTAGGAACCAGAAAAAAAGAAAGAAAAGCCGACAATCATGTAAAACCTAGAGGTAAACAAGTACCAGATTACCTGCTATAGTGGCTAGTGGCTAGTGGCTTGCCTAGAAGCACTGGGGTAGGTATATAGTGGTAGGGATGATCGCTGATGTCCGTTTGCGTGGGGATTTTAGAGGGTCAGAAGCAGACTCCAGGTACCCAAAACAGACCTTCGCGGCAAGTCCCCCCCTTCCTTGTCCCGATCCAAGGGGCGCAGCCACCGACAGGCGCCGCCAGGACCAGTAGAGCAACGAAGCAGCACCTTCGCTGCGCGGTGGGCGAGGTGGGGAGGTGGGGAGGTGGGGAGGTGGGGAGGTGGGGAGGTGGGGAGGTGGCGAGGTGGCGAGGTGGCGAGGTGGCGAGGTGGCGAGGTGGCGAGGTGTTTCGTTGGCGTTTTGCTACTTGGGTCTTTGGCCAACTTAGTAAGTTGTTGGTAACCGTTCGGCTATAACCCACTGTTGAGTCTCCCATTCAGTGGGGGTAACCTTCTTGGGGGGTGGAACAACCCCAAGTGGCCCAATTCTTACTAACTTGGTTAGAGGAAAATCATTTGGGAAACGTGGTTGTTTTGTGGGCCTTGCCATTTGCGGGGACCTCTGAGTGTCCTTTTGAGGGGTGAATTTGTTTTTCGTGAGAAAATACCAAAGGTATTTTGAACCACGCTCGTGCGGGTCCTCTACTTTAAAGACACACACACACAGGTGTCTGTAGAGACAGGTCCAAAAAGACAGCTGCTGTTGCCACACATCAGGCCAGGCGAATGTTGACGGATTTAAGTAGAACCCGTCCCATTATGAGAAAGGAGGAGGCCCCTCCAAAAGTGGTCTCTGAATCCAACCACTAAAAGGGGAAACCCGACTATTAATCAACCAGGAGTTGATTTTTATCCGGGAGGGACTTTCTCAGCCTGCTTTTGGGCGCCTTTGTCGGGGCTCGTTTCTCAAACCCTTTGATCAGACCTTCTTGAACCTCTCCTGCGATCAACTGGTGACGATAAAATTTTAACAGGCCTCCTTCAAAAAATACGTCCCAAAATGGGGATTGCTTGGGAGCGATGGTCCCATCAAAGCAATCCAAGGGACACATGAATCCGAGAGTTCCCCAAGACTACTCCGACTTCCTCAAACGAGGAGTTGGATCCTCTTCAGCTGGGAAAGTCCTTTTGTGGCTCAGCGATCCCTTGCTATGCTGTTTTCACTTTTGGTCATAAGGGTTCTGCCTTGTTTTGAGGGTACCCCGTTTTGGCGGTGTTAAAGCGAAGCCAAAAGAAAAACTACCATTTGTGGGGTCTCTAAAAATTGACACGCCAATAAGTCCGTGCTCCATTAGGGACATGGGGGACTCTCAAATCATCCACACCCCTTGGTTCCAACCCAAACTGTCTGCTGATGGTGTCAGCCCTGCAAACCTTTGAAATGTGGATGGGTAACATCTTGCAGTTGGGATGGATTAAACCCCATGATTTTTTTCGCAAACCTTCTGTCAACTTGTGCTGGATCTTGTCTATCGGCAATAATGAACCCGAAAAAGCTCGTTCTCAAAAAAAACACTTTTGGAGCACATCCTTTTGGGTTCCATGTAACACTTCGCGATAGACGCTCCCAACAATGAGTTCGTCATAACGGGAGGCATTGCAACCCCTCTTCTCCCGCAACTAGAAGATTGATGATCATCCCGATTGAGCGCAAGTTAGTGCTGCGCAAACAGGCCGCTACCTGCGTCATGTGAGTGGATTACAAGCATGGATCCAAGTGAACCAACCACCCAATCAACCTCTCCCCCGGTGGAATCACTCCCTTGCATATGTTTTTAGGGAAGGAACCCGAAAGAAGGGGTCTCCCTAATGAGCTTCCTCTCAGCTCAGGGCCACCTTTGCGTACCCTGGTGATAGCCTACCGGAGTTTGCTGAGGCCACCTGTCTGGGGCTTTTCAAGGGGAGCTTTGGGTCGCCGCCCACTCTGGGCCCATTCTTGTTCCATCCAAACCCGGGGTCAAAAGAGCGCGTGACCCCCCCAGCCCATGGCCACGTTGGGCCGGCCGACATGGCCCGGTTGGGTTGCGAGGCGCGTTGGCAGCTCCTGTCCTGCTGCTGGACGGACACCCCTGCGAAGTGAGACCTGAACAGCTCCTCAGCCGAAGGGAGCGAGCCTCCGACCCTCTTTTTTTTTCCGGGCTGGGCGCAGAGTCGAGAGGCCGCGGATTTTTGCGGCTGGGCATTTTTTTTGGGGGGGTCGCAGGTGTCCAAGTGGGTACCGGGAAAAGGGGGGGGGGGAAACCACCAGAGAACCCGGACTTGCAACACAGATCCTACCTGGTTTGCACGTCGCCCTGGACTCCGGAGCTTGAGCCCATCGAGCCCAAAGCTGCCAGCTCTGGAACAATACAAAAAAGAAAATCCCCCCTGGAAAGGTCCAAGTTCAAAAATCTGATGTCAGACTCTGCTTCACGTTTCGCCCCTCTAAAAAAACACTAATTCATCTGTTGCCATCTGACTCTAGGACTAGCGCGCGCAAAAGAAACAACAGACACCCTATTTGTTTTGCCCCTGGAGGACACTCACCTCAATGCCCGAAACGTGATGAATGAAAAACCACCCAAAGGGAAACACGGGGACCCTTAGTCCGAATTGAGCCTGCGGTCGCACATCCCCTTTGTGAAGACGCTGCAACTTGTGATACTTTGTTGGTACCCTTGATACCCCCTGTCGTTGTTCTAACAAAATCACTCAATTCGCAAATGTGTGTCTCTCCTTTTGATGGTACCCTCACTGCAGGTTAACGGGGACAAAGGAAACCCGTTGCGCCATTTTGAGGGACACTTCATGCCAGGAATCCTCGAAAGCCATTTTGCGAGACGAGGGACGTAACGAAGGGAGAGTATGCCGGGAAAGATCTTGTGCTTGTCCAGCACGTGGTAGATGTGCCGAAGGGCCTGTTCGCACTGTCTCGAACTTGCAGGGGCCCGCAAAACTGGGCGGTCCGTTTTCAGATCCCCCGCTAAAGGTTCTCAACTTTTAGTGGGATAAATGGAAATCCCCACTAAACACTAAAAAGCCAAAAGGCTAAGGGGATGGCTGGGAGCCACCAAGTAAATAATCGCAATGAACGGCTGTATACTGGCGTTGAAGACCAGCCCCGTCAGGTTGACATATTTTCTCCGGTTCGGATTCCCATCTCGCCCTCCTGGCACCAACCTCTCACATCTCGGCACCTCTCTCTCGCCAGGGCTCTCTTGCTCTCTTGCACAGCACCACCAAACCATGATGTTCAAACCACAAAAAAAGAAGAGCTGGGGGACCCTCATGCAAAGTGATGCAAAAAAGTGGGTAAGGATGCTGATACCCGCCCTTTTGCTCGCGGAAGTGATGCGCCGAGTTCCCTGGCCACCAGAAAAAAAAGAGAGAAGAAACATCCGACCTGCTGCGACTGCTGGCCGTGGATGCAAATGGCCACGTCCGCCAGCAAGACCGCCAAAGTCAAAATCATCGCGGCCAATAGACCGCCTGCGCGCAGAAAGCGCAAACGCAAAGCTGGAAAGCCAGAAAAGTCACCTCCGGCTCTAGCTATATATCTATTGATCTACATAGTGTAGCATCGTGTAGTGTAGTGTAATGTAATGGAATGTAATGCAATGTAATGCGTATGTATACATTGACATGTGTGTATATACATTTATACATATACATACGCGTATATATATATATATATATATCCACTGTAGTAGGTAACCCTTCGCCATTGTCCCTTTTGGGTGTTTTCTTGGGTGGCGCCCTTTTTGTGATACAGGTAAGGCTTTCCGAAAGTCAGCAAAGGCCTCTTTTGTGTGAGAAAAAAACAAAAAAAAGCTCCACCGAGCCTGGGTAGGGTGTAACTACCCAAAAAGTCCAAACTTGATGTTTGCCATCAACATGATCTTCCCAAGTGACTAAAGTCCGAAACGGAACTCTTGAATTGGGCCTGAACAACGCACAGAACCAGTGCTTGTCAGGGAAACCAATGTGTTTCTCATACCCTGAAAATGAGCGGCTTCCCCAGAAAGCTTCACCCTTCGCCTCAAAAGAGTCAGATCAAGTCTAATGGGCTTAAGTCCAGAGGGGTCCAAAAAAGTAACCCTATGATACACCCCCAGTTCCAATGACCAAGCTGTACACGTTAAAACACTCAAATTGAACAACCTCCTTTTGCTTTCGCTAAAGAAAGACTGACTAGTTGTTGAAACCTACGAAACTCGTTTCGACCACTTTGAACCCATGGTTGAAACCATGTGTTTCTTACACGAAAAATTCGGGATCATTCGGTTGGGTTTCTGAACGGTGCGTATGGAATTCGCCATCCCCGTTTTGATTGGGGAAATCAGAGAACCACTGGGCCAAACCGGCGGGCCCCAAAGGCGTGGTTCAAGCTCTGGGGTTTCCCTTTAAAACCCTCCCCAAAACGGAGTAACTCGCAAAAAAGGCAGAGCCATGCTGTGGATGGACCAAATCCTGCACCACCTAAGAAACCATGGGAAACCATTATTTGCTGGTGTTTACATGGGAATCATCATTCCAGGGAATCCGCAAGGTGGTGCGAAATGGATTTCGTTCACAGTAGCTCAAACGAACATTAACTTGGGGGACACCTTCGGTTCACACCCTTTTTTTCATAGGTCTCCTTTTAGGGGAAAGAGATGGCCCTGGTAGATGATTAAACCACCAGGTCAACCCGGGAAACCCATAGATTTTTCTGGCAAAACAACCAAAAAGGACGCCTATGCCCCTTTTCCCTTGCTCCCCGGTCCGAGATGTTCAAACTCCGTCCTGCCTTGCATGTAGCCATGCCAAAACCCCCGCCGCAGCAAAAAGCTCCGCAGGGCGCAAAGAAACGGCAGGCCCTCGGAGAGCAAAATCAGCATCAGGTCCACCTGAGACGGCAAATGGTTATACAATTGTTCTAACATGGTCATACCCTCCCACCAACTGACATGGAAGTGCACAGACCCCCTTTCCAAGAGGAAAGTCGTCTTTTTACAGGGGTCTGTGCACTTCCATGTTAGTTGGTGGGAGGGTAACGTGGAATTTGGAAAAACACTGGTTACAACATGGTTTTAATGTATACTTGTTAAAACGAACCTGAGGCGCGGAAAACGAGTATTCCGCAACCCCTAGATGAACCCGTTTTGTCGCGGGTTGACCATAGCGGGTTGACCGTAGCTGACGCTCAGCAAAGAACACAAGTTTGGCGCTTGACGTTTGGGATAATGTTGCACCCTTAAAAGGGGGTGGGGCCCCTCCAAAAGAGAATATATATATATATATATTATTGGCCGATGCATCCAAATGGTGTTTGTATCCTGTGTCCATGTACATGTGTAGAATATATGTGTATATATATATATATATATATATATATATGTTTGCATATATGTATGATATATATATATATATATGGTCGACGCATCCAAACGGCTTTTGCATACATTGATAATTGTTGGCCGATGCATTCAAACTGGACTCGAAAACGGCAGTGAAACCATTTCAGCGGCTGTGCTTGCTTGAGCTTGAGCCTTGGACAAGCCGCTGCTGCCAAATGAATTGGCTGAGGTAGCCTTTCCCACGCCTGCGAAAGAGACACATCAAGGCCCAGCCAGGCAGAAGGAAGGCAACGACCACAACGGGCTTCAAATTCCAGCCCGGGACGAATTCGGCAATCAGAAAGGAACCCACGCCAAAGATAATTACTGGGCTTGCAAAAAGTATCATGAGCGAGTTGGTCAAGACCTCGCCGCATCTGGAGCTGGATTCATGACGAAGGCGGTATGCCAAGTATTTGCACCATGACATCAGTAAAGGACAAATCACAAATACCGAAAGCCCAATGGAGAGCCACGCCATGAACCTTCCCCAGTTTGGAGAAGGTCTTCGCACGTCATATTGGACAATATCAAAAATGGCCCACTGTGCCGGGCTCAGGACAGCAACACTCCAAGCATCGCTAAAAGCATTCCGCTCGAGCTGCGTTGTAATCACATCCACGACTTCGTTCCGAATGTACTCTTCAAAGTTCTCTGTGCTGCCAAACCATGCCGCAATGCATTCGGAAATAACTTGTCTGTCACAAAGTATCCGTCCACCAGTTGAAACGCATAGGCCCCTGCTGCAGCAGCTGCATGTTAGCTTTGATACCTGCAAGGACAACAGCTGTCTTTGCATGACTTCTATAGAACGGTACAAGCCACGCATGACGTGGCACGCAGCATAGGCACCAGCAACACCAGCGGTTGCGAAGCCGGTAATGTGCCACGTATATGGAAATGACTCGCCTCCAACATAAACTGGAAGGACAAGGATGGGAATGAATGCTACTGTGGCCGTTGCGAAAACGGCAAATGAGACTGGCCCTGTCAGGGTTGGGCAAATCACAAGAGGCCTTTCTCGTCTCTCCTTGCTCTTGAGGAATGCGGCAATCTCAAACATGCACCACAATCTTTCGGCAAAGGAAGCATTCCAAAGCACCAGCATCGATTCTGACTTGTCCAGAATCCCTCCAAGGCTGCAAATGGCCTCTGCCTTCAAATCCTCCCTCGTTTTACTGATGCAGATCCTGTCCAGGAAGACTTCTTTTCCGGACCGCCAGCATGCCAAGGTCAACATGGTGCCAGCGGCGCCAAGCACTGACGACCACACGGAAGAATTTCCCTGACCTTCCCAGTGCCGGTCGAAGCCTGGCAGGACGTGAAAATGAAAAAGCACAATGCCAAGCAAAGCGCACACGTTGCCCGCACAAATCGCTGCTAAGCCATTGTTTAGCACCAGGAGGGTCAAGCATTTCGCCCAGGCAGTCGAGTGCCAAGAATGGCTCCAGAATTGCTGGATCTTGGGCACCTCTCGGCTCTTAGCAAAGAAGTCTCCCTCCTTCTGTCGGAGAGCCGCTGCCCGCGACTCGAGCGCGTGGTAGGCAGAGGTGGCTCGCAGAACTTCGGGCCGTGAAACCTTCATCCTTGACATGAAGTCAACCAAGATCCGAACCTGCGTAAGCTGCGCATCCCTTGCACTCCCTGTACGTCTGCACTCATCGGAGTCGACCGAATGAGAACTTGAAGCCGAGGATCTTCGGCCAACCAGCTGCCCTTCACTAGTTTCCTCATCCGCCATTCTCCTGAATACGCAGGAAAGCAGCAGACCAAGTCAGGGCGCCTAGTAGAGAACAAACTTGGGCAGAATATCCTCGAGCCAATTTGTTCGCCTCGGCCAAACCATGGGCTATGGACTGGAGACCGAACTCCCACCCTCAATGGCCCGGCCCCGGGCGGGCTGGCAAGCCCAAACCGAACATCAACCAAATAAGCTGGGTTGAAAAGGGCACCTAGCTGGGGGAACCAGCCAACCGACCAACCAACCAAACAACCCACCAACCAACCAACCAAACAACCCATCAACCAGCAAACCAACCAGCTAACCCACCAACCAGCCCCAAGCAGCCCCAACCCAGCAACCGGTTGAACCACCGTTTTCCCGCGCCGTCCCCTCCCCCCACCAACCGCTGGATCAACGAAGCCGCCAGCTCGCAGAGCCCGCGGTGCGGCGCCAGGCGCCGGTCCCGCTGCAGCGCCGCAAGCAGCAGCGCCAGGCACCTCCGAGGCGCGAGCAAGCCCGGCGCGGAGGCTGACCCCGAAAATTTGCCGTCCAACCAACTAAACCGCAGGATACCAAGATAACATGCTGGTGCGAGAGATGCAGGGAATGAGAGAGTTGGGTTGATATCAACTGGGTGGTTTCCTTTGAGGGGATCCCCAGGTTCTTTCCCTCATGCCCTGAGCACCAGCAAGTTCATCCCCTCATGCCCTGATCACCAGCAGGTTTTTCCCAGTCATGGAAGATTTGCCGGCATTTTTGTCGGGTTCAGGCAATGTGCACTTCCATGTTGGTGGGAGGGTAAATGTTGGTTGGAAACACTGACTTTTAAGAGGACTTGCTCGGCATCGCAGAAGGATTCGCCCTTTTCACCCAAGTGGGCCACAATCAAAACCCTTCACCATGCAAGTAGTCAAAAGGGCGGCCGCACCTATTGATGCTTCATCATGTGTAGTTGGTGATGTTTTATCTCTGGGCATCCTCTATATGGGGAGCTCTTTCCAACCAGTTGAGGTATTCCCACGAGCCATGCGTCAAGTTGTCCGAAAATGGGTGCCATCCTGCTGACAGCTAGTGCCAAAACGGGGCCATAGCTGTGACAACCTGACTAGTTCTGTCCTACCATGTAGCTGGTCTGTTCCCAGATCCCCTGCTGAAAGTGAAACTGATAGTGGTTTAGTGGAAACTATCAATAAACCAACTCAACCGGATGGCCGGGAACCACCAAGATAGGGTGCTTTAGTTTGGATGAAACAAATGTCTATTCAATAGTATTCAAAATCACAGCCAAAGTGAGTGTGTCCTCCAACTCGGGGCCTTTTGTTGGTGCTGAAAGAGAAGCTAGGACACCAACACCGAAGTGTCTACTGCCTTCAAGAAATACAATCTTTCGTTCATACAACAATTTTGTTGGGTAAGCTTGCAAATTGTATTTTCATTGGTCAGATATGGCCTTTTAACACCCTGCCCAAAGGGCCTGGATATGCAATCTTCAAGTGTGTCGCACCCAACAAATGGGAAGGGGGAAGTGGCAAAGCGTCTCTCCACTCCCACCCCAACCCAGATCAGATCAACAGGTCGTCCGTTTGAATCATAATCCAAAAACACCTCGTATTCCAACGGTCTACCCAGAACAGTGCTTCCAGAATATGTCTGAGGCGGAATCATTCATGGCAAGGCGATCCCTAACCTTCATCTGATAGAACTTTTCCTCGGACCCCCCAAACACACCACCACCATTTTCCGCAACAAACCAAACATGGTCCAATTTTGCTCTTTTCAAGGAGCCCGATAAACGTTTTTGTTGGGGTCATTTGGGGGGGTGTTTGGGGACCCGGTTCCCTTCAACGGGGGTTTGATATCATCTACATGGCTGTGGGTCAAAACCCCGTACTTTTAGTGAACATCCCAATCCCCACTAAAATAGACTAAAATGAGTGGTGCACCTACCCCAAAATACCATTGGTGTTGACCCATGGCCACATGGCTTTGAGGATGTGAATCCACAACTTGGCTTCGCCGTCTCGAGGCGCCGCAGCAGCGGGGGACGGTCGATGGCATCGATGACCTCGCGAAGTCACCGGCTCCGCGGATCCCGGGCGCAGAAATTGGATCCGAAGCGATCGCTGGTTTCGCGGGGGAGCTTCTCTGAAAAGATAGCTGTGGATGGTTGCGAAAATCCAGTTTGAACCAGGAAATGAAACCATGGTTGATACCATTTGGTGGTTGGCATTTACAGGGGAATCGAATCAGAAACCAGGGTTTGTGAACGGTGCTGCGAACGGATTTCGTCCGTCCACAGTATGGATGTGTGTTGCTCGCTTTAGGACTTGGACGCCCCAAATGGCTTCCCCTGAAAACCAGGTACCGAGTCTTAAAAAGAAGACACCAGAAGAAGCCAAACAGATTACCTGGTTGTCTCTCCCACTAAATCCCCCAACTTGGTGCTTCGGAGGAAAAACAAAAAATCCCCCAAAGGGGGCCCTCAAAAAGTGACACACCAAGAAGTGAATCCCAAACCCTCCCAGTAACATGGAACCGAACTGAACAAAGGTTAGTAACCCCTTCAGTGGAGAATCCAAGCTACTGTGGATGAACGAAGTCCTGCACCATGAAACCATACCGTTTGTCAGTATTTACAGTGGAATCGTTTCGGCCATCCACTTTTACACAAACGACAATGGGGGTCGGATGCCTGACCAAAAGCTACTTAAACAACTCCCAGGCCATCCAAGCAAGCTTGATTCTCGTACGTTGCCATGGAATTTCAGGAGCCCAAGAAGCGGCCGGCCCTACAGTGGATGGACCAAATCCCGCTCCACCTAAGAAACCCTGGCATGATGATTCCCCTGTAAATACCAACAAACGCTATGGTTTCAACCATGGCTTCAAAGTGGTGCAAGATCTCATCCATCCACACTATGGCGGGTGCCATGTTAACAGGAAGGAAGAGAAAGGTCGAAAGTAAACAAGCACAAAGAATGGGGGAAAAACACAACGCGCTTCCCTTACCTTGTTTCCCGGTTTGCAAGATTGGGGAGGCCATTGCTTTTTGCTCGCAACCACTATGATAGCGGAATCGCCAGCACCCCACGATCGGGAAAGTGGTCTTCTCGGGGCCTCCTCTCTAGCTGGTGGGAGAGTACATAGATGGCCTAAAGTTGAGCTAAATGTTTAGAAACGGATATTAACCCCAGTTAGAACGATTTGCAGTGAGTTAAATTGGAGTTTAGTGGGAGGCAAAGCTAGCCAAGTCGCGATTCCTCTGGGCAATGCAGGCTCAGTTGTACCGCTTTCCTCCAAGTTTTTGATGATCGCCAGAGCTCCAATTCCGAGACAAATCCAACTGAGACCCATTCAACCCCCCCCCCCCCCTCCCACCAGACAAGATATTTGGAAGGCACGGTCTAGTTGACCTTCACTAGCCTCCCAACCCCCACCCACCCCCAACAACAAATAAACTTACCTGCTGAGTTGACTCAAAAGCCCAGACCTTTTGGGCTATGATACAGAACCAACTAGCCCACAGGTCAAAGTCTCCAGGGCTGCGCTGTTTTTGCTTTAAACAAAAAAAACGCTTGTCAGAACCAGGCCGCTCTTGCCCCCCGTCGTCCACGTCGGTCCGTCCGTCCCCGCCCCGAAAAAAAGCGGGGTCTTCTGGTCCTTTTGCTCTTCCAAGTGACGAGGTCCCCCATCTCATCCCCAACCAGCGCCAGCAGCATAGTGCCAAAGGGCAGCAGCCAGAAGCTCAGCCACACCTCTCCCAACATCGAATCGATCGAGCGCGGGAGTGTCCAGGGCAGAGTTCACAGGGTTCCAGTAAAAAGTGGGAGAGAAAAATGGAGAAGCAACCCACTAGCCCACTAGTCCGAAAGTCTGGAACCCGTTCGAGCCGCTTGCTTCGGGTTTTCGTGGCGTCAACCCCAAAAGCTAGGGGGGGGGGGGGGGGGAGGCACCGTTTCAAGAGAGTGGTTTGCTGTGGGGCTCCAATCCGAATTCTGGTTGGCGCTTTTCTGGCCCAAGGAGATTGGGGGGTGTTGAGGTGTCCTTTAGAAGGAGTGCCCTTAGGCTGTTCTAACCCCAAAAGGGAGGAAAGGTGCGACCGTCTTCTAACAATGGAAGTGCACATTTCGCAGACCCAAAGCGACCACACTCCCCGGCAAAAAATGACGGATGTCGGGAATCCTCCAAACAATTATGACCAGGGAATCCGAATCCCCTTCCGTCCAGACTATTCATACCCTCCCGACGGCAAAGCGAAGCGCACGGTTTTTGTTTCTTCTGGAAGACGATGAGAAGGGCCAATGGGCCTACAAAAAATTGTGCTACTCTGGATGGTTGCGAAACGTACCACGAAATGAAACCATGGGAACGAAACCACAACCATAACGTTTGTTGCTATGTAAAGGGGACTCGAATCAGAAACCAGGATTTCTGAACAGTGGCGCGAACGGATTTCGTCCATCCACAGTATGTCGGCCCTTCCCTACAATGCACCAACCACAGACCACCCTCCTGCCCGTGCAATGAGCAATGAAACGCGTCTCTTTACGGGTGTGTGTGTGTGTGTTTTTTGAGGGCAACCTTTGTTGGCTGTGTATTAAAGGGAAACAAACATCGTGTTAGGGGTCCAATTCCTATTTTCAAACACACCCTTGTATCTCCCTTCCTGAGTGGGTTGGACAAGAAAGAGGCTGAACTTCTTATTTACCATAAAATGGTGATCCCTTCCTTTTGGTTTCCCTTTACCGCAAAGAAGGGGGTCCCTCAAACCTCCAGAACAAAAACACACCTACACTACGTCCTCCAGTAGAGAGGTTAGAATCAGAATACCACTTTCCAATAGGAAAGGCCGAAGCTCTCTTGGCTCCCCGGCGTCAGCGCCACCCACCTCGCCCGCCGCGAACCTCGCTCGGGGGAGCGCGGCTGAGGGAAAACCGGCGCGGCAGGTGACTGTGTGCAACCTGTGGGAAGTAACTCCTTGGTATGGTGGCAAAAAACTGGGCTTCTGCGGGCCCTGCGAAAAATGAACAGGACCAAAAAACCTAAACCGAAAAACAAGCCAACAACTGAAGACAGCCGAAGGTCAAGCCAAGTGGAGAGGTGGCCTTCTTGAAAAAATCGGACCAAGACCCAAAATGGTTTTCCTTTGAAACAACCCCAAAAAGGGAGCACTCAACAAGAGACACGCTGAAACCTCAGGTTAGCACCTGGCATTGTCGAGCTCGTGAACCCCTGTACCACCTGAAAACCCGAAAAAGCCCACCTACCATGGCTCAAGCGCTGCAACTTGACCTGGAAGCCTCGCACTAACAATCGGAATGGCCAGGAATTGCAATCGGTCACCATGGGTGTTTCTCAAATTAGGGACCCCTCTAGGGGGTTGGTTGGTTTCCTCTTGGTTGCCCTTTTCAAGCATCCAAAAAGAGTTTGATTCCTGTGTTGAGGCAGAACATGTTCTCCATAGGGATCAACAAATTTCACGTAACCCTCAGCACCAGTTGGAATTGGTGGTTTGTCAACCAGTATTCATGGGGCTGCATCATCCCAACTGGTGGGAAATCGATTCTGTCCATCCACATGTTCCACCACCAGAGGGAAACCAACTCAACGAGTTCAGGGTCGCTAACCCACCCGCGCCCAAAACCAATCGCCTTAAGACTAGGGTTTTGGGTTCACCTTTTTTTCTTGGGCTGGCGGCATAAACCCTGGCAAGACAATACCTCAAACATTAAAATGAAAACAAATCCACCGCGCGTCCAACCCGCCCGGCGGATCCGTCCCGTTTTGCGCAGCTCCCTCGGTGGTTTTCTTGGCTTCGCCACCCGGGACGGGACCCCGCGCACTGCGAAGAAGAGCTCGGTGATGGTCCCCGTGAAGAGCGCCAGCGCCGTGAAGAGGGCGCACCTCGGGCCGCCAACGAAGAAGAGCTGCGAAACGTGGCTGAAGACCCAAGGTGTTACAAGCTTCATTGAAGTTTTGTGTGCATGTGTTTTTAGTGTTATTTTACTGTTTTAATGAAAACACAAAAACAAAAAAGGCGCACGACCAAAAAAAACGAAGGTCTGGCTACGCTTGCCGTGGCTCGCAGATGAAATCACTCCTGGCCTCAGGCTCCGGCCAGGCGTCCGCATTTTTCTTGGGACATCCCGGTTGTTTTTTGCAGAAGAGTCTACAACTCGCACATCATGTGTCTTATAAAGTTTTCGGGGACCCGAAAAAGTCGAAGCCTTGGAAGTGAAAGCTATCAGCGAACCCAAGTGTCCAACAAGCGAAGCGTGGCCTCAAAGACACGCCCCAAAGGCCCAAAACTCTGCTTGCCTAGGGACACCCATGGCTCGGCCCAACTGAGGACCCCACAGGAAGAAGTAGCACCAGCGAATCCGTAGCGAACACATGTACACCTGGGTATGGGAACTCAAACCACCAAGGGACCGCTGGTTTTAGCCTTCGTTTCCATCTATGTTGGGCTCCTATTTCTGACCCACACCCACCTCAAATCGAAACTGAAGAAGACCTCAAAATGCATGGATGCCTTTTAGAATCTCTGTAAACCTCCTGCATGCAATGGTTCACACAGGGGGGTACGCCAAACGCCGATTCCTGCAAACATGGGGGTTGATCAAAGGGACTGATACATAGGATGCGCATTAGGGGAACCACAAAAAAAAAGATGACTTTCACAACTAAATACCGAAAGTTACCTCTGGTCATTTGGGGGCCAAAATTGGTCAACCCCCACCTGATGGTTGGAGGTCCATGTGGGGAATAAACTCGCCCCAGAAAGTGTACCCGCAAAAACATGACACGCCCAACTAGCTGCACGCCCATTTTTTTTCAGCAAGACCCCCCCCCCCCCCACCCCCTTTTGGCTTCCCTCTAATTGGTGATTTGGATCGGACCTGACAAAGTGTCCCATGTGCCCCACAAGAATCCAGGGCTCAAATCCTTCCAATCCAAACCAACAAATGACCTGTGGCTTACCATCCGGCCATGGATTTCGAACCCTTTGAGAACACGGCAAGTCGGTTGCGGGGGTGGGGGAAAACCTCAAGTTTCGCAGAAGTCCTCAAACACAAACGTGGCAGGCCTTGCAGGTCCTTGCACCACACTAGGCATCCTTTTCAATGTTCTGTTGAAACACTACCGGGCAAATTGAACCCAACCAAAAGACAGGTGAGCCTTGAAAATGTATGGTGCGGCTACGGACCCCTTGCACTTAGGAGGGTTCGAATGACAATGGCCACCAAATGATCAGCAAACTTAATACCCACATTGCCCCGGCGTCCAGACACCGTTAGAGAAGGTAACAAGGGAAAACCATCCATGGTAAAAGCTGGTTGCCTACCAGGGTTCCATTTTTGAATTATCCCAAGGCAGACGTAAACCCAGGGTGCTTCAAGCCCTCAAAAAAAGGAAAAAGATGCAGGAGCCCTGCCTATAGGGTGTCGGGTCCGGGTTACAAGGAACTGGACACCCCCGATCAAAATCATCCGGGGTTCAATCCAGGATTCCCACATACATCAGCTCTCATCATGGTTCATACTGATGGAGAAAATCCTGAGTTGGCATGGATGAAAGCCCATGAATGGTGGTTAACCACATACCAACTGCTGCGAAGCTTATTTTGCAACTATCCACAGTACCATTCCACCCCTTCCCAGCCCCCCGCTCCCCCAGACCCAAACTTCCAGTCAGGCTGGGTAGATCCAATCGGTGCGCATACTATCTTAGGGGAAGCCCGAACCTCCGGTTTTTGGGCCACATGTTGAAGTTGGAAACCAAAGGCACCCCAGGAGCGAAGAAGAAGCCCCATTCATATTCGTGTGAGCTAGTTTTTGCGAGTGTCGGTAAGAAGTATTCACTACTGCACCTGGGTTTTACCAACGGGAGGGGCTTTAGATTTTATTAGGGGTCATTGACTGGTGTGTGCCCCTTTCACCTTGGTGCCGCAACAAAAGGAGTTTCCCTTTCAATCGGCTATTCTCTTGCAAATGGGTGCAACTCAACTGATGTTGACCCACAATTCATAAACCCCGAGCGACCAAACTCCCGATTGCCAGCGAATGCGACTTTAAAGGGGCCCCTAACCCATACTTGTCACCCACAACACACACACACAGCTCTGAGCAACGACTCTCCTCTTAATTAGGCTCTTCCCCCCCCCCAAAAAAAAAAAAGAAGAAGAGAATACAACAACATTTAAGTTACAGAAGCTATTGCCGATACCTTTGCCAATACTTTAATTCCTTCCTCTTGCGGGTCGCTCCTCCCAAAAACCGGAACAGGAAAAAAAGGAAGAAGAAAAACAACAGATAGCCGGAAAGTTCATTCAAGGTTTGACAAGCCCCAGAGGATCTGGGACCCGAACCCAGAAAGAAGCCCTGGTATTAAACCCGCCTCTCATAAGCATTTACAGCCAGGTCTTCTGTTTTCCTTTGGGCTCCTTGTAAATCAACCCACAAAAGGCCATGGAAAAACAGAGAGACACACCCCAAAAAGGGGTACCCATTTCTTAAATATATAAAAAAAAATCTTAAGTTACAAAAGCTATTGCCATTTTTTTTTTTTTTTAAAAAAAAAAAGCGCAAAAGTAAATTAACATATACCAATTAGAAAAGACAAAAACAATAAAGATTATTTATTGTTAAAAAAAAAAAATGCCGACCTGCAGGCTGCGCGAGTGGCAGAGACCAGCGGCATGTCCTCCAGAGGGTCCACCTCGAAGGGGAAGAGCCGCCGGCACTCCTCGTTGGGATCGGTTGACCCCTCGAGGAGGGCTGTGAGTCTTAACCCTTTAATAAGGCCTTAAGGGCTCATCAACTTGGCTCATCAACTTGGCTTAGCAACTTGGCTTATCAACTTGGCTTGTCAACTTGGCTCATCAACTTGGCAAAGCAACTTGGCTCATCCTTGGCAAATTCTTGGCTTATCCTTGGCTTATCCTAGACTTATCCTAGACTTCTCCAGGGATAGCCTGCATTCCGAGACGAAAAACAATCAGGCATATGTCGCATGAGGGAGATTCATGACGAGCTCTCACCCTAAGGTCAGCTCGAGCTAATGTTGACTCAATGAACCGGTCCTATTAATAGGGGGCGCCCTCCAAGAGTGGTCCGAATCCCACTAAACCAAAAAAACAAAACCCTATGAAAGGCGGGTTTAATCCGGGGTCGACAATAGAACCTCCAAAGAGGACGGGCTCCATGTGTGTCTTTTTTTGGGACACCCCAAAATGGTGGTTTTCCTTTTGCTTGAAACCACCAACAAAGGGTACCCCCACAAAAACACACCCATGTTAACTTGCAGGGAAGTTAGTTTTGGCATGTTGTCTTTCATTGCCTGACTCAACACATTTGGAGCAACTCTAGGTCAGCCGTCAAAACCTAGATCGAGCGCGAGCATCTATTTTGATTGACCCGATATGAGCATCAGAATTCGGAGATGTGTGCAACCACTTTGGAGGGTATTCAACTTATGTAAACCAAATAGGTATGTGTTGGGGACCCGGTCCCTATTTTGAATAAGTCATACCCTAATTTGTGGGAACTCCTGTCAGTTTCCCTTGAAATCGGGTCCAATATAGTTTACTTTTACTCCCTTCAAAAATCAGCTCCTTCGGGGTCTCTGCCCAGCTGAAAGCGTTTTAGGGGACGATAGGCCCAGAAATCGGCTCCTTTGGGGTGGTTTGGGGCTTTCAGGCGCTTGGGGCCCGGTTTGTGGGCTCCTTTCCCATCAACCAACCAGGCGCAACATCGTCGCAAGTGACGGGGCGGGTCATTCAGTTGGCCAGAAACTTGGTTTTATCCACCCTGTGAGGTGCCAAAAATCGGCGCTTCAGCCAGCAGCCAGGTATTGAAATGGTCTACCTGGCATTAAAACCCTGGTATTGACATGGTAAAACGGTAATCAAAATAAGTCAGAATCAAAACGGATCAGTATCAAAATGGTCGAGCCCCAGAACCGTGCAAGGAAATAAACGACAAGGTGGCTGCACCCATCTATGGTTGGGATTCTCCCGTACTAACCTTCATCTACCCAAGTTTCGCCTGAGCAGCTTGCAACAGTTGGGAGCTGATTTCGGAACCCAGTTGCAGACCCCCCATTCCACGGGGAAATCGAATGAGTTGATGTTGAAACGGTCGACCTAAACGCGGATTGAACAAGCACTAGGCCAAGGGCAATCACACGCTGGGTTCAACGCCCCCAGCTCACCCACGCCCCTGAAGTGTCCCGCTGGACCCCGAAAACGCAAGTCGCCAGTAAATCGATGGCCGTGTGAAGCTGGTTTCTACGCTCAGCTCCGCTCGCCCGCGGATCGGATTGGATTAGTGTGGTTAGGAGTGCTTCCACATTTGACAAGAAGGGGGTCAAATCCAAACCATCAGTTTCCCTACAATTGGTGGTTTGGATTGGTGGACTGTTGGTTGAGGAGAGGTTTCCCATTTACCCGCTACAAGATCCGGGGGTTCAAATCCCCAGCCACAAAGAAGCAATGCAAATTTTGCCAGAAGACTGGGCTCCAGGTCACAGAATTAACACCATCTGTTGCTGGGTGTCCACTTCTCAAGAGGCGCAAAACAAATCCAAGCGGCTGAAGAAATCAATCCAACAGCAGGGCCTCAAGCAAACGTGGGCAACTCAAAGTCTGACAAGCTTCAACATATTCGGGCGACCCTGAAATGTAACCATTTTCCGTGGTTTTGTAGGTAACCAAAACCTTGTCACGCTTTAGCAACCAAAGGAAAAATGGATCCAAGGGTTGCCTACTGTACGGATTCCTGGAATCCACTAGGAAAGCCGGCGCTCTTTCTCAAACTTGCGGATGCTGGATGGTTGGTGTCCTTTTGGTTTTCCCTTAAACCCAAAGGCGGCGATACGGTGGGATGGACAGTTCCCGGCGCCAGTTGGGGATGAAGCCTTATAAATATCATGCTAAACCACCTCCCAGCAATTCGCTGGCGCCATAGGCAGGGAATGAGAATTGGAATGACCCCTATAAGCCATCTTCTATAGTTTCCTCTAAGGCAAACCCCAAAACCGGTTCATCCCATTCCTCATTCCCTGCAGCAGCAGGTTTTGTCCATCCACCGATTTGTTTGGGTGGTTCGACCAAGACATAATCGTCAGAACTTTCGCTCGCGCTCCTTCACAGCAAGCAGCACCTGTCTCGGTTCCTCGCATCTGCAGGAATTGGTGGGATTTTTTAGAGAGGCTGCCTCGAGCCTCGAATTTCTATTTGTCCAGTGCTACTCAAGGTGCCGCAAGTGAGGTGGATAGATATGTCAATGACAGATCCCTTTTTGTTTGAGGGTATCTCTTTTGGGTTGGTTTAAAGAAAAACCAAAAAACACTAAGCACTTGGGACTCTCATGGAGTCCGGTGTTGAGACTTTTCGACTTATCACAACACGGGCAGCACTTCTTTTGCAAATCGGATCCATGTTTGTACATGTTTGTACAGGGCAATGGCAATGACCCACAGCTGGCAATGGCAAGCTCGCATCCTCAGTGAGTAGTGTTTGATGTGAGTAATTTGGGTGAGTCAAGTCTCAAACTGGGGATTTCAATCTTGAGAGAACGCCGACCCTTGATCAGGGTGCTGAATTGGGGGCGTTCCCCCAAACCGCATTGGGGCACCCCTGCTTGGGGAGGAAGCCAAAAGGAAGCGGAAAGCCAGATGGACAAGCCCCCTTGTTTGAAAACATGTTTCAACCACCTTTGTCACATCAAACAAACACAACTCCTTTGGTTTTCCCCGATGTTTTCCGGAAGCCGAATCGGCTCTTGTCTAAACCCTGTTGCACATGTTGGATACTGAGCGCTGCAGTCTGGCAAAGCGGGCGCAGACGTTGCCAGCATGGCATGTTGCGATGAACGCACCAAAGGCGCGACAACATACGCTCGTGTTCGCCCAAGGCAAGGCGTGCCGTGGAGTAGCCGGTGGCGGAAGCTTGGTCATCGCTATAGTAACCCAATGAGAATTCCCCCCAAGTGGGATTAACCTTGTTCTTACAGAATGTAACCCAAGCGGCTAATGTAACCCAAGCGGCGAACCAGTTACCAACTTGCCCGAACATCCGAGTACCACAGGCCCTCTGTCTTTTTGGAAGGCCTTCTAGTGGCATCTTCGCGTTCCCCACGTCAACGCGCAGCCGTCATCCAACCCGGGCTGCCGAGCTAGCGCCCCTCGCCAGGCGAATGCACGAACGCGGCACCCACCCTCGCCACACTGTGCCAGCTGAGGGGCTGCGCCCCTGAAGCACGCGGGAAAATCTAAAACTTGGCAGGAACGCAAATCCAGATGCAACAGTACAAAAGTAGAGAAATCATACAGGACAGAAGTCATCGCCAGGCAGAACTGCATCTGCAGTCTCAGGCCTCAGTTGAGTCGACAGCTGTGTTTGCCCAAATGGAAACTAACTTTATTCTGAATCATGAACTGAGTCAAAAACCTGGCCCTATGGGATCTGTATTTTGGGCTTGCGCCTGTTTCGCTTTGCTTTTTGGGACTCGAACCTCCTGTGGGCAGCTTAGATATCCTATTGCTTGCCTAACGCAATGAACCTTTGACGTCTTGTACGCGGGCTCGTGTCTGCCAAGGATGTTTGGAGGAAATGAATTAAGTTCTGAATATATCTTCACACTATGGGATGACTACACTGCCTCACTCGGTTCAAGGGAAACAACTAAGTGGCATTGGCTTCGCTACGTGCCGAACCCGAATATATTCTACGTACCCCTTCTATACGCCATATAATATACTTCAGTGCATGTATATGTGTTTTCGCGAGGGTGCCCTTTTCAGCTTAGTTGCAAACCAAATCAAAGGGAGGACCTGGGAATATCAGAGATTCCCCCTAGTTTTCTCAGCTTGCCGTTCTCTGGCGTTTGGGATTGGCCCTTTGGAATTCTACGCTTGCCCATGGTTTGACACCATCAAATCCAAAAAATGGACAACACAATCATACCTTTTTACTGTTTTGACTCCACCAGCCTCAAAAAATGAAGCTCTTCATCACAGAAATTTCTTCTTTGGTTGAAGAAAACCTCAAACAAACCATAGAATTCTGACAATGTGTTTGAACTTGCCTTGCGCGGCAGACCAAAACGTATCAGTCTCTTCAAAGAACAGGGTCTCGCGGAGGCTCTGCGGAGGCACGATACACCCACAAAAACGCCTGGATGGGCGGACGAAATCCTTTGCCACCTGCGAAGCCCTGGGATGCTGACTCTCCTGTAAATACCAGCAAACAATGGTTTCCCATGGTTTCAAAATGGTTTCAAACTGGTGCACCAGTTGGAAACCATGGTTGAAATAGTTGGTTGTTGCCACAGTATGGGAAATAATTGTCTTCTTATTGTGCAACGGAAGGGTTTTCCTTGAACCACCAACAATGAATGGGGTTCGTTTGAAAAAAAACAATGGGTCCCCTTGAAAAACCAACAGCGGGTGTCCCTTGAAAAGAGTTGGAAAGGGTTTCTCCCTTGAAAGTAGGCCAAGACACAAAGGCCATAGATCACATAGGGAAGTTTCTCATGGATTTGGGAGAAGGGTTTGATTGGTTCCTTTGCGAAGCCTTGAGGTGGCCTGCCTACGCGAACCGCTTCCCCACCACCACAGTTGCCTACGCGCTGCCGCAACGAAGAAGTCCCCCTTCGAATACTCAGCGAATACATCGCAAAAAGAAGGAAAACCCTATGTTGGTTGTTCAAGGAAAATCCCCTTCCGTTGAAAAAAAACTAGACCACGGTTGGCCCGAAAGCCTCGACAGCGCTTCAACCACACCGATCTGAAAAGAAGGTCACTCAGGCATGTTCAAAATCGCCAAAAAACACCTCTTTTTTTTAACTGAGGACCACGCCGATCTCCGCAGAGGGTCGCGAGTTGTTTAACATCGACCACGCAGATCTCCGCAAGGGTCGCGCGCGCGCCGCAGAAATCGTAAAATGTCCCGTGTTTTAACGTCGACCACGCTGATCCCCGCAGAGGGTTGGTTTTCGTAGAGTGCTGTCGGCCCTACCCCGCCGCCCTAAGAAGAGAAGAAAGGAATTTAAAACTCCTCTCATGAGAACTCTCATGAGCATGGCTCCTCGCCAGTGACTCTCACGAGCATTGCCCCTCGCAAGTGACTCTCATGAGCATTGCTCCTCGCCAGTGACTCTCACGAGTGTTGCTCCTCGCCAGTGACTCTCACGAGCATTGCGCCTCGCAAGTGACTCTCTGTGCAATGACTCCTTGCAATGACTCTGTGCAATAACTCTGTGCTATGTCCCTGTGCAATGACTCTCATGATGATGATGACTCTGTGCAATGACTCGGATGATGATAACTCTTTGCAATGACTCTCATGATGATAACTCCCATGAACCCAACGGAAGAACCCTTCGCCCTGCTTTCGGGAAAAAGACACCCGAGATCTCGGCCAGGTGAGTACGTGGTTGGCTCACTTGGGTTGTCACCCAGCAACAGGGTTGATTCCATTGAATGGGGGACTTCCAGGGTCATAGCCGAACGCTTGTCGTGACAATTTCGGAACTTGGCGAATCGAACACCCAACATCCCAAGTCCTCTCCCAAGTCCCTCAGACGGTTCCTGGGTGTCTGAGATCACCAGGAGTGCCAGCTTCACCCGCTGGTGGAAAAGCGCCACCCCTGGGGCCGGATGGAGAGAAGATCCGGGATAGGCTAAGGGCCGTTTTCTCGGGTTGTTTGGCCGGGGTGCTTCCCCCCCCCCCCCCAATGACTTAGGGTACATGGATCCTACAGCTATCCTTACACATGGGGTAGCCAACCAACATTATGAAGAATATCCTATTTGTAAGGGTTTCAAGGTCCAGGTAGACCAAACATAAAACAAGATACCTAGACTTGTGCAAACCCCAACTGTCAAGCTGATCCTTTTTCTTGTGAGTTCAGAGAAGTAGAGAAGTATCCATCTGGAATTGGGTGTCTTTTTCGACCCGTTTGGGGGGGGGGGTTGTGTTGTACCCAACCCTTTTTTTCTGGCGGTTCGGAGAGGTGCTCTGGACGGTTGCGACATCCGTTCGCCCCAGAAAATGAAACCATGGGAATGAAGCCAGAACGCTTTTCTGTATTTACAGGTGGATTGAATCATTCCATTCTTAGGTGTTGCAAGCGGATTCGTCCACCAGTATCCAAGTGGAATTGGGTGTCTTTTCGACTGGAACCCACAAATTCCAGACCGAATCCAGCCCCAAAGACCTTAAGGCCTCCTTTCAGGTCTGAATTGGGGCCTCAAAACACGCAAGACCCCCATGGGCCAGGGTTTCCTGCAGCCTGAAACCCAAACCCATCCAAGGCGCCAATATCCACTGACAAAACATAAGCTCAGGTGATATCCTCAACAGCATGCAGCGCTCTTCTTCAACCCTGCGAAGCCGTACCTCTGCACACCCTTCTGGAGGGATTTTTCCCCCCCCTCCCCCCCAAAAAAAAGAACGGCCGGCCCACCCAACACCCAAACCCCCTGCCGCTCTTTTTTGGGGGTTGCGAAATCTGCTCCCCTGCTAGACGTGTTTTTTCCTTTTAGTGGTTTAAATGGAAACCCCATTGGTTGGCCAAAAGTCAAAAAGAAAATCACCTTTAGTGGTTAGTCCTCTTTTAACTGTTCGTGGTTTTCGGGAAAACACAAAAAATTGTTGGCCAAAAGTTGTCCCAACCTCCCTTGGCAAAATGCCAAGGAAGCCTGAGGCTCCGGCCATCCTGGTCCGGGTTCTGCTGTGCAAAGGCCAGCGCATCGTTCAGCAGGCCTCGGGCGCTTCGGTCGTGGCTTCGTCGTCGTTTTTTTTTGCGCGGGGGGAGGGACGAACATGGGCGGGGAAAAGGGGGGGGGGGGAAGTGGGGGGAGGGGGGGGGAGGGGGGAGAAAAACCAATGTGTGCTGGTGTCGCCCCCTTTCTGCGATGAAAAAGAAGAGGACAACTCTTGGTGGGTCCAGGAAGTTAAGGTCCAAGGATCCGTTGCCAAATAGCCAGAGGAGTTGGTAGGTGATTTAGCCTGGTATTTTGCAAGGGTTTCATCCAACTGCTGAATCTTGTCCTTCCCGTTTTGGTTGGAAAGTTCATGTCAAATGTGTTTCCTTCTGAGTTCCCCAGTCTATCAGCTCCAATGGGCAAACTTCGAGGGATTGATTCGCCTTTTGGAGGCACCGCCCCCGATTATTCACAAGGTCCCCGAACAGAAGGAACCCGAGAGGAGAGTGCGTTATGTTCAGCCAAAAGGAAAGTAAAACTGAAAACGATACGGTTGCAGTTCCTATTTACTGCACCTAGTTTTGTTAATCTACCCGATTGAAAAACAAATCGATAAGTTTGGAGACAAACACTCCGGGCACAAAAGCAAATGCAGTGTCTAGCTTCAAATATTCGCTCACCCCAAAGGACTGGGAAATAAAGAGGTGACATCGGCTTGCAAGCAACTTGGTCATAGGTTTTGGAGAACCCAACCCCGCAAGGACCCCACTAAACCCACTCGGCCGGGTCCCCTGCTGATAAAGCGCCGCCGCTGGGCGCTGTAGCGGTCCCAGACGTCGGATTTGGGGCTCCTTGTGCATGAGGTGTGAGGAACAAACACGCTGGTGTGGAAATTTTGAGGGTACCCTTTTTGGGATGGTGTTAAAAGGGAACCAAAGGCAAACCCACCATTTTGAGGTTCCCTCATTTTAAGACAAGCCCGCTTGGAACAGGACTGAACAAATTCCACTGCACCTTTCTCGGATTTCGGTGGTTTCTCAAGCTGCATAGGGTTTCATCCATGGTATGGTTTTGCGGATGTCCAAACATGTGTGTCCCTGTCAAGCATCCGGAATGGAAACTCATTTGAACGGGACGAATCAGGTTCAGGCGGCCGTGGCCATACCTATTTCCCCCAACTTGCTAACCTGACAAACCAAAACCCCCCCAAACCCCCCCCCCCCCAACTTGCTAACCTGACAAACCAAAACCCCCCACACCCTGTCAAAAGGAGCCCCAACAAAGCCTGGGGAAGGGCAGTGGACAAAACGACGCAGATGGGTTGCAGGGGAGGTTGGGGGGGTTGGGGGGGGTGGGGGTGGAGGTTGGGAGGTGATGGCAGGATTTGGAAAAATCAGACTCGGACTTTCAGCCGCATCTTCAACCCGCATTTTCTGGTGACCTGCGAACAAAGCTCTTCGGGGCGAGAAAGCCTGGTCCTGGGCTACTGGGATTCATTTGTCCCCTCACCTTGGGGACTCTGCTACTCAGTGGCTTACACCCAAACGCCCGGTAACCTCCCGCTCCTGGACTCCGACCGCAGCAAGGGCCGCGCCAGATCCGAAACCGGCGCCGCCTGAGATACGAAAACAAAATCAACCGAGAAAACTTAGCGCCTCGCTGGTCCGGGGCCAAAAGTAAGAGCAGTTTGTGGGATATGTCATACACCCCTCCAAACTCATCGACTCATCATAAACGGCGTATGGGAATCGCCAAGTAAACCCACCAGACGAAACCAACAATCCCAAGGACCTGTCATTTCCCTGTAACACAGCCAAGCACGAGCTGCCACAAGTCCTCTCAAAACAGCAAGACCACACCGAGACCATGCCCCGTATGGGTGTGCCTTTTTTGTTGGCGGCACCCCTGTTTTGTGACCCCGGATGAAGCTGAACTTAGACCGACCCGCTGCCAAAGGAGCCCAAACATGGCTTGTGACGATTTCCGGTTCGCAAATCTTGGCCGCTTAGTCGACAATGTGTTGATTGTGGAATGGGGTTATGAACCTACTGTGGATGCTGCACCACCTAAGATACCCCGGAATGATTATTCCCCTGTAAATACCAGCAAGTACTGGTTTTTCATGGTATCAAAGTGGTGCAAGATTTTGTCCATCCACAGTGCTAACCCCTTAGGAGGGTTCACAGCATGGGCATAATCCTTGTGATGCCAAAGACGTCACGGTACCACTGCGTGGATTCTCTTAGCTTCTCACCGGAAATCCAGCAAAGGCTTATTTCGCACAAGCATGTACGGACCTGATTGAAACATTGCCGTTCCTTTTTGAGGACCTGGTTGTTTTTAGTGACCGGCTTGGTGCTTATGACTGAGAATGGGGTTGCCCAGAATGGAAGCCAAACCCCTTTCTTGGGATGTACAAACGGAAACCAAAAAAACCGTCCCCTTTGCGTTGCTGTGTCATTTTTGTTGAGGGTACCTGGTTTTTGGTGATTTTCATGGGAAACCAAAGGAACAGCCACCATCTTGCAATTGCCCTAAAGAACGACACCCATTGCCACGAACCCGCGCTTGTAGAGGAATCTCTCGGAAATGGACCCCTCAGAGCGGTTTGTTACTGAAACCGACCAACCCACCGACCAGCGGATGGTATTCCCTTTCATGTGACGAAACACAGATGGTTGTGTCTCAAAATAGGGGATTCCTCCGTACCGTGAAAAGGAGCCAACAAGGATCCGAATTGCAAGTAACGGCGGAGTGTTCCTACCCCTTACCACAACCCCATGACACCAGGTAGAACCTACTAAAATGACCAATGCAAGTAACAGCAGCACATCAGCACAGCAAGAGACCAACATGAGTCCCAAATTAGGTGGTAAAAACCATGGTTGTTCCTGTTGTCTTCCCATGTGCTTGGTCTGGAAAGCCAAAGAAACCACGGTTGAGCCAAAGCAATATTCATTCAGTCGGTTCCTGGAGCGCCTCGGAGCAACCCTCTGATACCAAAGAAACCCTTGGGCCCAGCAGGTTGGCTCTTTGAGCGTTGCCGAGAGAGAGCCCTTCAGGATCGAACAAACCCTGGATGTGCAAAAAAATCCCATGAAGCGCTGGTGTCCATACCAAAACGAAACCGCTGGACATCCCATCTATTAACCGCTAACCTTCAGCAAAGAGGAGCATCGCGTTTAAACAGAAACACACACAACAACAATAAATAAACTTGTTTTGCTTCTACTAAAACCCATCGTCGTTTGTTAAACAAAAAACGACTTTGTTGTATAAAAACCCAATGCACTTGTGAGCGGTTCCCCACAATCCCGGCCCGACCGCTCTCCTTGCTGTTCGATCGTGTCCAGGTGCTTGTACATACCCCTTCTACATACCCCCTGGGCAAATGAACCCAAAAGACGTGCTGATGTTCATAGCCCTGCCCCAAAAAGGGTATATACTGCAAAAAAAAGTGGGTTGGAAACCAGGGAAGCCAAGGAACCGGTATGATCAAGGGCTACGCTGGATGCCCTAAATATTTTGCAAGTAGGAAACAAAGGTTGAACTCTGAAAAAACATCTCCATGGCTTGTGGGGGTCTCTCTGTAAATGTCCATGGCTTGTGGTTGTTTTGCCATGGCAAACAAGGGCTATATCCTTCCAGCCTCAGAATCCGGGCTCCCGGCGGAAGAAAACGGAAGCCAGGACCGCAGCATGCGCATGACGTCCCAGCCACGCAGCTGGGACCTCACGCTGAGCGTGGCGAGGTGTTACCTGTGAAATGGTGGTTCTCCTCGAATTTCCTTTGGTTTCCATTGGTTTCCTCTGGTTTCCTTTGGTTTCCTCTGGTTTCCTTTGGTTTCCATTGGTTTCCTTTGGTTTCCGTTGGTTTCCGGTATTTCGTTTCGTTTCCCTTGGTTTCCCTTGGTCTTCCTGAAAAATACCAACCAAAAGGTGGTCCGAAACTCGTGTTATTTCCTTTGGTGTCCTTTTGTGTTCCTCACAATTACCAATCAAGCCGGGGGCCGAATCCCATTGCGCTTCCTCTCGGCCTTCAAATACTAACCAAAGACTGGTTCGAGTCCCATGTTGTTTCCTTTGGCTTCCCTTCAAAACCAACCAAAGAGGGTTGCGAATCCCGTTTTGTTTCCTCCGGGCTCCCTTCAAAACGGGTCCGAATCCCATTGTCTTTCCGCTGGGTTCCCTTCAAAAGCAAACCAACGGGTACGAGACCCATTTCCGTTTTGAGAAAGCCTCGCCTTTTTCGAGGCTCGCCTTTTCTAGGGTTTCGCCCGACACCAAAAGTACACCGCCCGAACAAACCACACGGAGGTGCCTGGGCGGACATGGAAAAAGCTCGTTGGCCGGGAGTCCCTAACTTTGAGATCCCACATCTTGAAAAGCTTTCGCTGTTCCAGACGTTCTCTTGCTTCAGAAACATCGCCCAGTGGATCCCAGCTATAGTAAGTAACCAGCCATTTTTTCCATTCGTGGTTTTAATACCGGGAAAAGGGCAAGCCCTTGGTCACCCATACCGGTTTCGTGGATCCAGAGGTCGGGGATGGATCTGGTTCAGTCCCCGGTTCCAGGCCTTCCCGGCTCTCAGCTTCCCAACTGGTCTTGGAGCCGAATCGGTGCCGAGGTGAGGGGCCCCTTCCAATCCAAATTGAAACCAATCCACCCAAAGCCGACGTTCCATGCAGGTTGCCTCCAATCCAAATCCAAGTTCAATCCAACCGCCAAGCCCACGATCAAACCTCCAGGTCGAAACCCGTCCGAAGACGCCCGAGCGGCTTGTTTTTTCAAAGCGGGACGGGGAGACGCGGACTCTGGACCGCCCGGGTTTGCTCGGCTTGCGAAGCGAGGGGCAACTGCACTTGATGCGCCGATGTCTCCAAGTCGTCCAACGCCTACGGACACGCTCGCCTCTTGCGGGTCCAAAGACTTTTTTTAGTGGGCCCCGTCTTTCGGAACCCCAAAGGAAACACCGCCTCCATGGATGTTGAGTCACGCAAGTGGAGGCTTCTAGGGAAACAAACCTCGGTTGCTTTCTGCTCCCCTGCTAAAAGCTTAACTTTTAGTGGTTTAGTGGAAAACCCATTAGTTGGCAAAAAGTTAAAGTCCTAACATCCAAGCAACATGCACCAAAGAAACGTTTCAAGCAAGCTTCCCCCGCGCCTTTCCATGGAATTCCTATGGTGTGGGCTCCTTCCGTTCGCGCCAAGTTCTTCTCCCGACTTCACGGGCTCAGTTGGAGTGCTAGGTCGGTGGGGCGCGAACAAGAAACGCAACAACCCAAATCGGCCAGGGATTCCGAAAGTTGAGAATGTTCAAAGGGCCTTTGTGGTTCCCTGATGGGAAGCATTCACGCCAACCAGTATTTGGGGCTCCACGCCTGCTGGCAACCAATGGAAAACTGTTTCCCCCGGTCTCTGGTGGTTCGCAGGAAAAAACAAGCACATGAAGTAGCCATGGAATGGATTTTGGAACTTACCCAACCACTTTTTGGCGGGGAACACCCCCAAAAATGGGGTTATGTTATTTGCTGTTTCGTTTTTGAAAGAAATGAGAAAATATGTCCAGTGATGGATTCCCTTTAAAACCAACAAAGTAAAAAAAAGAATGGAAGGTGTCCAAGATCTCAAGCGTGCAAAGCGCAGTGGTTGGGGGAAGTAGAAAAACATGGCCTTGGTACAAAACACACGCATTGAAGATGGTCTCCTTGAAGCCTCCCACACCGATTTCCCATGGATCGATTGACTGTGGGAAATGAAATCCATTTCTACACAACAAAAAATGCCTAACCCCAATGGCCCAAAGATCCATGTTAAGCCCAAGTAAAGGCGCCGGTCTTTTGACCATGGCACACGTGGCTGTGGGTCAAAAATAGGTACCCAACATGGAACCCTGGCAATTGCAAACATGGACTACTACCTGCTGTTGTAGTGGTTTAAATTTGACCATGGCACATATAAAGATATAAAGGGGGAGATTCGCTTACAGTGGTTGGACCAACTCTTTCCATTTACCAGGGTTGCATGTTGGGTGCTTATCTTTGACCCACAGCCATATAAAGGGGGAGATTCCCTCACAGCGGTTTACACAAAAACTCCCCAAGTGATCCGGCTGTGGGTCAAAACCAATGGGATCCCATTTTGGTTGGCAGGTGAATTCACCACCCATTTTAGTGGTTGGATTGGTTGATGTTCACTGGGGGTACGACTTGGCTTTTGACCCATAGCCATATAAAGATGGAAAGGGGAAGCCTTCTTACCGTGGTTGGACAAACTCCCCGAGTGACATTTCAGGGGACCGCAGGCTTTAGTCCATGTTTCCATTTACCAGGGCAACCCATTTTGGGTACCTAGTTTTGACCCACCGCCAAAGGGCGCGCTGAATTCCCTACCACGTGGTTGGACACAAAAACTCCCCGAGTGACTCGCTGCCACCGAGCGAGTTTTTTGACTCGGTCCCCCGGAGCCAGGCAGTCCTTCACCAAGTCCTCGGCCAGGCAGTCCAACATCGACAAGTTCTTGGCGATGGCCGTCATCTCCATCCGCGCCAGGTGGATCAACTTCCTTCGTTCGATCCGCGCTTTTCCGGTCGGAAGAACTGCACAGGTGAGTTGGTCTCTGTGGCGTTTTCTATACCTGTTTATCGTCTCTTCCGGTGGATCAACTTTTCTTAAGTCTTTTATTTATTGTAAAGGACAACAAGTTCCTCCAGCAGAGAGGCTAGAATAAGTTGGTACCCACTTGTTTTTGCTCTCTCTTTTTTTCGGGCAGTCTGTTTTAGTAGGGGAACCCTCCCCCCAAGAAGGGTAAAAGGGCACTACTGGGGGACCTAGACAACCACACCCATTCCCTCCCCATTTTTCCTGAAATGTTGAGCCCATCTTAATCAACCCCGGCTTATTGGTAGGGGTCGGGTTCTGGGTTTAGTCGGAATCAGACTGGGGAATACCCCCCCTTAATAAACCGGGGTTGATGAATATGAGGTCAACATGAGAGGACAACCACACCCATTCGCTCCCCATTTCCGTGTATTCGCCCAGGGAAAGCGCCATCCTTCAAAAACAAGAGGAACATGGCGAAGGGTTTCCTATGGTTTTCTTCTATAGTGGTCACTGGGATCCGTTAAAAAAACCTTTCGCGGAAAACGCGGAAGCCCGAAGGAAATGTCGGAACACTCGGAAAACGCACTTCTGCGTGGTAAGGGAAACATCCCCGCGAAGGCGGTTGAGCAGCAAAGGGCATGGCGTCTATTTTCTTTGGCAATAGAATCAGAACTGGCTGTGGGTCAAAACCAATGGGATCCCATTTTGGTTGGTAGGTGAATTCGCCTGTATTTTGGTGGCTGGATTCGTTGATGCTCACTGGGGGTACGACTTGGGAATTTGACCCATGGCCAACTGAGAATCAGCTTGAGTTTCCGATGGGAACACGGACCCACTGGATCCCAGGCGCCCTGATAGTAGCTAGGTCCGCCAGTAGAGAGGTTAGAATAAGTTGTACCAACCTTTTTCAGGACGTCCATTTTAGCAGAGGAACCCTCCCACCAAAAAGGGTGAGAAAGGGCACTACTGAGGGACCTAGGTAGGCAACCAGCTATTGTCTGTTTGGCTTTCAAAGGGTGGTGGTTGCCTGCTATACGGGTAAATGGATCTGGGGGAGGCATTGGATGGACCATTTTCGGGCCGAACCTACCGGGAGGGACTCGGAAAGTGTCGCGGTAGCGTTCCAGATGGACTTGTCTCGAAACCGTGGATGGACAAAATCCCTTCGCACCACCTAAGCAACCTTGGGAAAACCATTTGGTATTTACAGTGCAGTCGTAAGCCAGGGCTTCTTAATTTCGCAACCATCCACAGTAGGGGACCCCTTAACACGGCAATGGCTTCCAGCTTTGGTTTTCCGTAACCCAAAGGGCACCCTCAAAAATACGAAACACCCCGCCCCCAAATCCATCGGATGCAAGCGGCACTCCGAGTCAAATAGCGGCCTTTGGCCAAAGGGGAAGCTGCAACCGGGTGACTTGTTTCGGGGATCACAAAATGGTGATTGTCCTTTTGGCCTTTAAAGCCAGCAACAAAAAGGCACCCTCAAAACATGGCGCACAACGGTGGTCCTTTAAGCAGCAACAAGAAGAGGTACCAACTCAAAATAAGACACGAAACACCTGGGTTCCGTGTGACGGCAAGTGCCCTTTGACTAGTTGAGTTACAACCCCAAGAAACTCCCAACCCGCAAAGCCCCCAGCCTTTCGCTGCCAAATTAAAGCCACTGCTCACTTCGCCTTTTTTTTTTCTCTCGGAGGACCAGGCTCCGGGGAATTCCCCCGATAGATCAAGTCCACATCAAACCTGATGTTTCTCTGGTGCGCCAGAGAGTCTTCCGAAGTGGACCTGAAAGGCCTTGCAAATCAGCTGGGTTCCAATGGGTTCCAATGTGATACTGTGGATGGACCAAATCCTACACCACCCAAGAAAACATGAGACACCATTGCTTGTGGGTGTTTACGGGAAATCACAGGATTTCGCCCATCCACACGAAGGAACTGGCATTTTTCGGGCCAGAAACCATGTCTGGATCAGCCGGAGTCCGAAGTGAGCAGTGAATCATGGTGCCCAACAAAAACCTGAGATGGTCAGTAGTTGTCATGTTGACCGTTGCTGGCCTGCGTCTTTTTGTATCCAGGAAGCCAAAGACGAGCCAAAGGCGGCGTGAGCAGTGCACAAAGCACAAAAGCATGGTTGTGAATGTTTAAGGCCGCAACCCGATGAAACCAGGTAGAACCTCCTACAATGAGGGGAAGTGGGAGTTCTTCAGTTCCCTAGGGATTTCATCCAGAAAGCTCCTTCCAAAGCTATAGCCAGCTGATTCATCCAAAATCAACATCCACCTCTGAGAAGAAAAACAAAAAACACTGCATTTTTTTGCAGAATATACCCCTCGAGTGGGTATTTCGGGTAGGGGGCTCACAAAAACCAAAGCTTGACGTTGGCCGGGGCGCTCGTCCATCTTGCCCACGTTGGCCGGCTGCGTCTCGGAGCGCAGGAACCCCAGAGGAACGCCATAGGAGTCCTCCGAAGTCGCGTCTGGTGTTTGGGCTGTCCGTTTTCAGATACCCCACAAGTGACGAACTTGTGGGTGAAATACGGAAACCACTGACCACTAAAATGATCCTTAAGAAGCTGAGGGGATGGCTAGCCAAGATAAGGGGGAGGGGGGTGGGGGGGTCCCCAACTGCATCTTATCTAGTCTTCACAAAGGTGGGGATAGCAAACGTTGGCACTTGGCTTTTCCATAGGTTTCACAGCTCCCAGGTCATTTGTGCCATTCGCTTCGTGTGAACTTGGCGGTTGCCACTGAAACGGCTGTGGGTCAAAAATAGGTACCCAAATGGAACCCTGGTAAATGGAAACATGGACTAAAACCTGTGGTTTAATTTTGACCCATACCCAAATGGTACTCCAAAAAAGTACAAAGTCCAAGAACTTGGGGAGTGAGACTTAGACCCTTGCACTTCGCTTCGCTGATTTGGCGGTTTGGGTTTGGAGCTAGCTTCTCCTTCCCGAACTAGGGATTCAAATCCAAATCCGAGCCAAACACCAAAGAACCACCTGGACCTGAGTTTTGAGATGACACCTGGGAGACCCGAGACAATCCAGACACACAAGTGGGGGTCCTTTTCTGACAATGGTGTCCCCCAGAAGGGCATTGGGGCTCTGGGTGTTTTGCTTCTTGGTAAGTCCCAGGGCTGGTCTCATCTGGATTTTGCGGTAGAGCTTGCTGCCTGTCCACTTCTCCCAAACCATAGACAAATCTGCAAACTCTCACCTCATGTGCTCGATCATATGTTTAGGCGTCGACCCAATAAAGGGCCCGTCCCCAAACGTGTTTCTTTGAAAGCACCAAAAAAGACATTGCAAGTAGAGGAACAAGAAAAGCCCTGCAATTTGAAGCACAATCTACGAGGCGTTCCTGGCTGGTGTTCATTACCTATTCATAGTGTGGAGGTACAAAACCCATTTCGCACCACCGAAGAAACCCTGGTTTCTGATAATTCCCCTGTAAATGCCAGCAAACCATATGATATGGTTTCAACCATGGTGTCATTTCGTGATGCGAATGGATTTCGCAACCATCCAAAGAATGAGCCTCAGCCAACATATGTGTCCGGAGACATGGGAAAATTGGAAAGAGCAGCTGTGGGCAACAACGAATACCCCGCATGTCCTTTCCACATAGCCCATAGACCGCTGACCCAACCTCATATATACATAAACACATATCTATCTATCTATCTATCTATCTATCTATCTATCTATCTATCTATCTATCTATCTATCTATCTATCTATCTATCTATTTGTCTATCTATCTATCGATTTATCTATCTATCTATCTATCTATCTATCTATCGATCCAATCTAATCTAATCTAATCTAATATATCTATCTAATCTATCTATCTATCTATCTATCTATCTATCTATCTATCTATCTAACTAACTAACTAACTAACTAACTAATCTAATCTATATACCGATACATATATCATATACACATATGTGTGTATGGTACCTTCCAGGTTTTGGGAGGGGGTAGCCTACATATATATATATATATATACATATATGCATATATATATATATATATTGACGACTGTTCTGCTCTTTCTCTGGTGCTCCCCAGAGGATTGATCCACTTCTGGCCTCAGGGCTTCTGAATACGACAAGAAAGATGGTGGCGAAATCCATTTCGCACCACCTAAGAAACCATGGTTGAAACCATAACGTTTGTTGGTATTTACATTGGAATCAGATCATTCCAGCGTTTCCTAGGTGGTGCAGGATTTCGTCCATCCACAGTAGGTGTCCTTGTTTTTGCGGGGGTTGTATATGGGGTTGTAAACCTGGCCCCTAGCTTGGCTTTGGTGTGACTTTATCGCAACATGGGAAAACCAAAAGGAGCATCCTTGCGCGCGACATCGAGTCGAACAACTCGCGGCCGGAAATGTCTTCCTCCGAGTCCCTGCTGAAGAGGCGGTGGAACTCCAAGCCTCTTCGTGTCGAAATGAATCGGTGAGTTTCTACCTAAGGAAACATGGTTGATACCATTTATATATATATATATATATATATTGGTTGGTATTTACGGAGGAATCAAACGTTTCTACTGTGGATGGTTGAATCTCTTCACCACCTAAGCCATGGTTGATACCATTTATTGTTGGGTATTTGCGGAATCATATCATTCCAGGGTTTCCCAGGTGCGAACGGATTTCGTCCATCCACAGAATGCACATTTTGGGCATGAGGAATACGAAGGGAATCCCGAAGGGTTGGTCCCTGTAAGCCCAAGGAACCCATTCGGGAACCCTTTCGGGAACCCGAAAGCGGCCCTCAACTACTGTGGATGGACAAAAACCGTAAAACGAAACATTGGAATGGATGAAACTTGAGAAAAATAACAATTGGTAAACCGGATTTTGTCCATCCACAGTATGTCATTGTATATGAGGAATACAATGTTCATATAAGATCGTACCCAAATAGCAATGCTTATTTACTAGGAATCTTAATCTTTCCTTACTCTTACTATGACCCAAGGTACAGTTGGGTTAGTTAGATGGCACAATTCCAACCCAGTTCGCTTCCACGATTCGACCCTGGAATTGTGCCATGCGCAAGTGCGAGCTCTCCGGACCCTGGACCGCAACTTCGATCCATTCCTAGGTCCTCCAGTAAAGAGGTTAGAATAAGGTGCCAACTTTTTTCTGCAGCCTATTTGAGAAGGGGAACCCTCCCCCACAAAAGGGCAAAAAGGCACTACTGGGCGACCTAGATTCTGAATCTCGCCGGCGTTGTATTTGGCATGGTGAAAACAACAAGGGCTAGACCTGCAACAGTCATACCTCATATCGGGTTGAGTGCTTTGCCCCCTCTCAAGCTCGGTTCGGAACATGCGGGATCGGCTTGCGGCCGGGTTGCTCAGGGCACCAAATTGGCAGGGTCACTCCGAGCTGCAAGCCGAAAACCCGAGGGTCGAAAATTGACTGCGCGTCCTTTGGCTTTTTCTTGGGCCAAATTTCGACCCCGGGTTTTTGGAGCAACCTCGTTTGGGCGTGGGTTTGTGGTTGAGATGCGAGTTTGCAAGGAGTGTGTTCAGAGTGAATGGCTGTGGTTTCCATTTTTCCGAACTCTTTGTCCAGACAAAGAAATCAAGGTTCACCCTATCGACTCGTCACCCGGCGCCCCCCTCGCCCCGGACAGGCATACAGAACCTTGTCAATTTCCAGGGCCCTTGGGGAGTTTTCCCAGTAGACTTCTATCAAGACATAGCAACTACACAAAAGAGGTCGCAAACTGTTCGAAGCAAACGGTTTGAATCTCGGGGGTCTGATGCAACCCCTTTTGATTTCTTGCGAGTTCCAACCATTCGAATACAGGGTCCAACTTGACCATGCCGGTCAACCAACACCCACCCACCCACCCGCCCGCCCGCGCACGCACCCACCCACCCACCCACCCACCCACCCACCGGCCACCCAACCAACAAACCAACCAAACAAACCAACATCCATACACCTGGTATGACCCCGAAGTTTATTATTTTATCGCTCATGGCTTGATCGCGGGGTTTGCCAGCCCAGGGTTCCAAAAGGCTATGGGTTCATGTGGCTTGCACAATGGACCCATTCACGAAGCTACAAGATACAATAAATGGACGAAATCCTGCACCACGTTCAAACCATGAGAAACCACTGCTTGTTGGTATTTACAGGGTTCTTAAGTGCAAAACGGATTTCGTCCATCCACAGTATGGCTCAGTCGGAGTCATTCCAACTCCTTCCCTAACCAGCAAGGAGATCCTTAATGGTAAAGCATATGGCGAGCACGCCTGGCTAAGTTTAACTTACCATGTACGTGCTTTACTTGGGGATGCGATTCTTCGTTCAGGTTTCGAAATTGTTGCAGACATTGCAAGTCGCACCGTTCTTGGCCAAGTCCAACCGGTTCTTTGCCAAGCCCGGCCTCGAAAGCATGCTCAATCTGGGTGTCTTTGTTTGAGGCTGCCCCTCTATGGATGGCTTTAAAAGGAAACCAAACGGACAACCCGCAAGTTTGGGGAGTCCGATTCCTAGCAGCAGAAACATACCCATAAGGTGGCCTACGAGTCCGGCCACAGGCTTCACCCTTCGCCGGTTCCCCCTCTTTCAAACCCAGGCGAGCAAGAAGGAAAACCACAGCGGAGGATGAGAAGCACCCACCCCACCGTGTCCCATGGGTCCCTCGTTGTTTCAGGGTAGCCCCTCCTTTGTGGGGTTCAAAAGGAAACAAAGAGGAAGATCGCAAGCTGTTGTGCTGTTTGGGCCCCGGCCCGATTCCCCCCCCAAGAAACCCCTCCACCCCTCCACCCCTCCAGACCCCCCCCCCCCCCAACCCAACCCGAGGCCTTCCTCCGCCGCCGTGCGGCGGGGCCGGCGCCGGCGGGCCAGGTGCAGCACTGACTCCATCAAGCTCCGAGGCCCAGGGTTTGAGGGAGGGGGGGAGGGTGGCTTTGAGGGAGGGAGGGAGAGGTGGCTTTGAGGGAGGGAGAGGTGGCTTTGAGGGAGGGAGAGGTGGCTTTGAGGGAGGGAGAGGGGGAGAGGTGGCTTTGAGGGAGAGAGGTGGCTTTGAGGGAGGGAGAGGTGGCTTTGAGGGAGGGAGAGGTGGCTTTGAGGGAGAGAGGTGGCTTTGAGGGGGGGAGGGGGCTTTGAGGGGGGGAAGGGGGCTTGGGAGGCTTTGGGGCGGGAGCTTTGGCCGCCTGTTTTAGAGGGAAGCCAACAGGCCCAATTTTGGTGGATCCACCCAAACAAAGAAGCCCGACAAAATGTTGGGGGGGACTTTGGGGTGGGGTATGGCCCGTGAAACGGCGAGCTCCGGGCGAACTGGGGGGTTGAGGTCTCAAGTTCAAGGCTTCTCGGGTTTGGGTGGGTGGCCTGACCTAAGCCTTGTTTGTTTGTGTTTGTTTTTTTTTCTCTGGATGGTTGAATTTTCGGTCCAAGGCGGACCACAGAGACGTAGAAAAGGTAAGCCGGAGCGCTGGAGATGCCGACGAATCCGAGCCTTGGCCGAGTCGGTGCTGTGAGCCGAAATGGCGGCGATGCCAAAAAGACTCCTCGCGCAGTTGAAAATCACCTCTTCGACCTGTGATTCGAGGGATAGATGAAACCCCTTTTCAACAACAGGGGAAGCCACCTACCAACTGCAAGCGCAGGACTTATCATCCATCCACGGCCTGGGTTCCCGTTAAAATCAAGCCAAAAAAAGGCACCCTAAGAAGGGAAGCACCCAAAAACGACGCTTCCGTTTCCAGCCTTTCCAGGGATCCCTCTTGCCAGGAAACCATCCAAAAGCCCAGGGGAAACGCATCCGGGTTTTGAAAAAACGCACAGGGGGGGTAAAGCCCGCTAGAGTGATGGACCTTGCCCTGTTGAAGGGGATTCCTTTTTCACAAAAAGGTGGGCCTAAAACTCCAAGGTTCAGCCGTTGGAAGTGGGTGAAGCGTCTTATGTCGCTCTAAACCTCTGACTTCCTACTTCCTGAGTGGATTGCCCAAAGAGGGTTTCAACTTTCTGTTTATCTCTAAATGGGTCTGTTTTTTTGGCGTACGTCTTTTTCAGGTTGGCTGAAAAGGAAACCAAAAGTAATATAAGCGTGTGGGCCTAGTTTGACACACGCACCCAAATAGCATTCCCAAAACCAAGATCTGAGTTCTCTGTTGACCTAGGGGGCCTCTCGGGCTCCCCAAATCGATACCTCCTCTGCCCCTCGAAGAAAGAAACACAACAAGAAAAACAAGAAGCAAAGCTCCCCAAAAAAAACTCACATCCCCCCCCCAAACAAATAACAGAAGAAAAAGAACGAAGCGGCAAAACAACATGGTTTGGAATGGGGCCCTAACACCCACCGCCTGTCCTGTAGTGCTAACCTTGGATTGCTCTGGACAGAGGAAACCCCTCAAATACATCATTTCTGACTCAAGGGGCTTGCCTGCTTAGTCTGGTCCTCCTTCCAATCCAGAGTTAACATCAACCCAGTAACTCCCATTTTCCAGTGTAAGTAAGATTTGGTGACCAAGGGAACCAGCCATGAAGAGCCAGGCGCAGAAATGCCGCCATGGTCACCTACTATAGTGGCTTGGCGAAGGAAAATTCCAAAAACTTACGTAGAGTTGTAACTGGGAGCCACAGGGCAAGGTATGCTTATGAAATCCCTAGAGGGGGGGAAGAACAAGGGGGGTGGGTAGTTGAGAGCTTGAGGGCTCCTAGGGTTCCTTACAGTTCCTGAGGGTTCCTGGGGGTTCTTGGAGTTCATTAGGGAGCCTTGGGGAAGCCCCCGTTTCCGGGACCAAGGTATGCTAATGAAATCCCTGGAGGCAGGAACAAGGGGTGTGAGTGTTTAGGGAGTCTTAGCCCCCCCGCCCTAAAACACCCCCCCCCCCAAATGGATTCGAGGTTAGAACCCTTTTCTCCCTTTTTTCCGTAGTCTATTTTAGTAGGACCTAGAAAAACAAATCGAGCCCCATGAACTTTCGTGTCCAAACAGAGGGTACCCCCCGATTTTTGCTCCAGTTCATTCTGAGACTGGAAAACTCTTACTTGGGGGAAGGTACCCCCCGATTTTGGGTTCAGGAAAACTCTTGGAAACTGGAAAACTCTTAATTACTTGGGAAACCTAGAATCTGCAACTGGTCCATCTCCATTCCGACCCGCCTCCCCTGGCTGCAGCCCGGTGCAGCGGCGTCCAGCGCCGACGTAGGTCCCGGGCCTGGACCGGAATGACCCGAGGCGTGAGGCTTGCCCGGAATTGGCGGTGGCTCAAGAAAGAGAATTCTGATAATATCAATATAATCTTATAGCATGCACTGCTAATAAGCATTATCATTGAACTCCAAAATGGCAGCCCGGTAATTCTTTAAATGGAAATCAAAGACGAAACCTGCTTCATCCTAGCTCTTTCATATTATATTGACCCAGGCCCAATTTGGAAGGAATTAACAAGGCTGCACCCATCTATCGTTGGGATTATCCCTAACCTTCATCTACCCAGGTTTTGCTTGTGGCTCACTTTCGATCAAGTGGACTTAACCAAACTTTTTCGTCTAAGCCTAAGCCACTAATATTGCCACCAAACCCAAAAAGTGACTAAAGTCCAGAACCCAGGAGGTAAGCTAAAATTCGGGCTATCCCTTGAAACCAACCCAAAAGGGGTTCAAAAGTAAGACTGTCTGTGGATGCTTTGAGGGTGCCCTTATTGGAATGTGTGAAACGGAACCAAGAGACAAACCTAAAAAGACAAACCTAAATGGGCTACAAATAGGTAGGACGGATGTCCTCAAAATTAGGGACCCCATAATTGCTCGAGTGCCCTTTGGTTTTCTTGTTGAAGCGTTTCCTTCACGCTTGTTTAGCCTGGCCGATTGTTCAATGTGCAATGGGGGGGGATAGCTTGGTTTCACAAGTTCGGCCGGTTGTTCGTTTGCTTCTCTGCTTTGAAGTAGGTCTCTTTTCGGCTGGGTGTTCATTTGCCTTTCTTCTTGTTTGTTTAGATACAGCCATGATTACACCTAAGTATACGTGTATATATATATATATATGTGACATGTGTGTGTGTGTGTGTGTTTGTTTTGCTTCGTGCGTGTGCTATTGTTCATTAGATCCTGCGAGTCGAGAGAAAGTTGCACTCCAGATCGGAAGGACCCCCCGCAATGTACCATCCTAATTAAAATGTTTTGGGAAACAACGAACCAAGGGACCCCGAGATTTCGGGATCCATGTTAATGTTCAGGGAGTATCAATGGGTTAGGGATGGGAGCTCCACCAAGCGAACTCACCCATGTGAATCAAGGTGAACGACTCGGTGCGCACCTAGACGTCCCATGCTTTGGGCTGAAAAAAGGGAGGGTTGGCCTCCCATCCCTGACCCATTGATACTCCCTGAAAATTAACATGGATCCCGAAATCTCGGAGTCCCTTGGTTCGTTGTTTCCCCAAAAGATTCCAATTAGGCCGGATGGTAAATTGGGGGGGGTCCCCCTGCAGCTTTTTCAGGGCGCTGTTCACACTGATTTGTTGTTGCTGGGCCAATTTTTGAAAAAGGCATCCTAAAGAGAAGGGTGCGGCTATTAGTTGGTTCCCCTAAGGCATCCCTTTGCCCGACCGAAAAGGGGCTCCCCCTCAGGCCCAATGAAAACGGGGGGGGGGGGGCCTGAAGGGGCGGATCAGCTGCCACCTGAATGATAAGCACCTGGGACGAGAATCAGAATGCGTCCCGTCGCCTGTAGGTCGGCTCGCCGTGAAATGAGATCCTGGCAACGTACGGCATGAAGTAGCCACAACGAAACCAAATTGTTTGCGCAGCCCCGGCAAAAAATGACGGATTTCGGGAATCCTCCAAACAATTATGACCAGGGAATCCGAATCCCCTTCCGTCCAGACTATTCATACCCTCCCGACGGCAAAGCGAAGCGCACGGTTTTTGTTTCTTCTGGAAGACGATGAGAAGGGCCAATGGGCCTACAAAAAATTGTGTTACTGAAGATGGTTGCGAAACGTACCACGAAATGAAACCATGGGAACGAAACCACAACCATAACGTTTGTTGCTATGTAAAGGGGACTCGAATCAGAAACCAGGATTTCTGAACAGTGGCGCGAACGGATTTCGTCCATCCACAGTATGTCGGCCCTTCCCTACAATGCACCAACCACAGACCCAGACCAAAAAAGCAGCCTTGAACAAAGACCAGTTGACTCAACGGTCTTCCCCAAAAAGTACTACAGTGCAAAACGGATCTCGGGGGACCTGAGTCCCTCGTCCCTGGCTGTGTTTTGGGCCTGAAAGGAAGCAGACATCTCTCAGGCGTCGGGTTGATGCTTTTTGTGTCCTTCTTCCAGGGCTGAGTGCCCTGGTAACGCAGGGCCGCCGGAACCGTTTCGCGGAGGCTCCCCTGACAGGTGACTTGCTGACATGCGGTCAGTGCGCTTGCTGGTTCGACAGGCAAGGAATGAGAAACGAAACGACCCCTAGAAAATTCCATCCGCTACGGTGTCCTTTGCGGGAATCCCCTTCCGCTTCCCTCCGAAAACCCGGAAAGTCATTCCTGCTGAGCACCAGCAACTGGTCAGTGTTTCAAAAGGACCCTCGCATGCCGCGCTTGTGTCTCTCGCCTGGCAACCTGCCCCCCAAACGTGTTGGTGTTCGCTTGATGTTTTCCTCTAAACACTCTCCCCAACATGTTCTTCATGTTCAAAAGTCAAAAGAGGAAGGACGCATCAGTCTGCTGCGTTCAAGTGAAGCATGCACATCAGTGACACCAGTTTCTATAGTGGGGCACATTCATCCGTCTAAAAGTCTGTAGAGCCCCCTATATCAACATAGCGGCTCTAAGGAGCTTGTTCAAACAATAGTTGCTTGAACATCTTTAAACAACAGGATTCCTGAAAGGATGCATCCAAAACCCTGTCTGATGTTCAGGGATCCTATAGTTGGCGAATATAACTGGCCCTTCGCTGTATCCTT